TCCTCCAGCTTCAGCCTCCACAACTGTATGCTGTTACAACTGTATGCCACTACTCCTTAGTTTAAAATTTCAAACTTCCTGTGCAATGGTAGCGCACACCTTTAATGTCAGCACTCAGGAGGCAGAGGAAGGCAGATCTCTGTGAGTTCAAGGCCAGCCTTTAGAGATTGAAGTCCCAAACAGCCAAGGCTACAGGGAAAAACCAAAACCGAAAAAAAAGACCACAAAAATTTTAAAAAAAGAAAGAAAGAAAAGAAAAAAAAAAGATTACAGAATTGTCACCATTGCTTATCAGAATGAAGCAGGATTGGAGATATATTTCAATGTAACAATGTCAACTTAGCACATGCAGGATTTGAGGTTTGATTTCCAGTGCTTGAGAGGTACTACAAACTACAGAGTTGGGGGGAGGGGGATAAAACACGTAAAACGGACAAGTTATATCCAGGATATTTTTCAAACTCTGACACATCAGTAAGACCAGTGCAACAAAAATAAATAAATAAATAAACAAACAAACAAATAAATAAATAAATGAATGAATATCACATAGCTACTTCAGAAAGAGGAAATCCAGTAGCCAGTGAAAGTGTGAAAAGGGGCACCAGCCTTTCTCACCAGCAGGAAATGAAATGGAAACCACAGAGAAATCTCTGCACTTCCCACCAGAAAGGGTAAATTAAAGCAGACTGGAAGACCAACAGCACCAGGTATTTGGGAGGAAAACTCACACCATCAGCGAAAACGTAAATTGACCATCATTTGAAAAAGTGTTTTTTTGTTTGTTTGTTTGTTTGTTTGTTTTCTAACTTTGAAAATACCTGTGTTGGGCTGGAGAGATGACTCAGAGGTTAAGAGCACTGGCTGTTCTTTCAAAGGTCTTGAGTTCAATTTCCAGCAACCACATGGTGGCTCATAACCATCTATAATGAGATCTGATGCCCTCTTCTGATGTGTAGGTCTGGATCCAGGCAGAATACTGTATAAATAAGAAAGAAGAAAGAAAGAAAGAAAGAAAGAAAGAAAGAAAGAAAGAAAGAAAGAAAGAAAGAAAGAAAGAAAGAAAGGAAGAAGGAAAGAAAGAAGGAAAGAAAGAAAATACCTGTGTCAGGGCTGAGGCTGTGGCTCAGCTGGTAGAGTGCTTGCCTAGAATGCAGGAAGCCCTGGGTTCAAACCCAAGCACTGTATGAACTGCCTGTGGGGGTACAGCCTGTAATCCCAGCACTCAGGAGGGATCAGAAGTTCAAGGTCATCCATGGTTACCTAGGAAGTTTGAGGCTAGCCTTCCATACATGAGATCCTGTCAGAGTTGTGGTGGGGAGAGGAGGAGGGATAAGAACAGACATTCGGGTCATTTCCACTTCAGGTTATGACTGATAATATCTTGTGATGGCCCTGACTGAAGACCAGCAGTCGGTTGGTTACACTACAGCTGATGATTTCAGGAGGAGGCCTAAACAAACTGTGGTTTGTTAGCTGTTCTAAATTTCTCAAAAAAGAATGATTATTGTATTCGAAAGAAACAACCCATAATTCACACAAATAAAAAGTGATGGTGTTGCTATGAACATACTCCCATGGCTCTTTAGACATATGCTTCATTTCTCTTGAGTGTATATGCAGTAATGGAAATGCGGCAACGCTACCTTTAACTTCACGTATTTACTAGCTTACATATGTATGTATCTATTTATCTATCTATCTATTCAGTCATTTTGAGACAAGATCTCTCTACATAGCATAGCCCTGGCTGTCCTGGAACTCCCTATGCAGACCAGGCTGGCCTCAAGCTAACAAGGATCTTCCTGCCTCCAACTCTCAAGTGCAGGAATCAACGGTGTATGCCACCGCACCTTCACAGGACCTTTAACTTTTTGAGGAACTACCGAACTACTTTCCAGCGTGTGCCATTTTATGTCTCCCCATTGCGCTTTTTTCAGGATTCCAATTTCTTTAAACCTTCGCTAGCATTTATGTCTTGTCTCTTGTGTTTATTTTTTTGAGACAGGTTTCCTCTGTGTAGCTCTGGCCACCACACCTGGCTTAAAATGTCTCTTTCTGTTAAACTTATAATTTTTAAAATATATTTTTAATAACTTTTGCCAAGCAGTGGTGGCACACGCCTTTAATCCCAGCACTCCAGAGGCAGAGGCAGGAGAATCTCTTTGAGTCTGAGGCCAGCCTGGTCTACAGAGTGAGTTCCAGGACAGCCAGGGCTACACAGAGAAACTCTGTCTCAAAATAAAATAAAATTAAAATAATAAAAATCAATTAGTAATTATTTTTCCTCTCATTCTGTGGACTATTACCCAGCTTTAAGCTTTACTAGGAAGCTATAGTAATCAAGACTGTGCCATTGTGACTAAACATAGATATGTAAACCAATTAGACAGAATAGAGTCCACAAACTGACTTAAACCAATATGGCTAATTCGGGCCAGCAAGATGGCTCAGTGAGTAAAGGTGCTTGCTGCCCAGCCTGATGACCAGAGTTTCATTCCTAGGATCTACACGGTAGAAGACAAGAGCTGACTCTGGAAAACTGTCCTCTGACCTCCAACTGGAGGTATTTATTAGCCACAGCACAATAAATAAGTAAAACATAATGAAATATGGCTAATTAACGCTTACACTCCATCTTGGCCAAGGTGCAGAGAAGTGATAGCTAATTAGCTCGGGGCAGGAGAATGCACAGCTGAGGACTGAGTTCAGAGCCTCACACTCGCTAGGCAAATGCAGAGCCCCAGTCCAGCTGATTAATTTTTTACCCATCAGCATGAGAAGTGAACTGAATAGAAACCTTAGAGCCTTCGCAACAATTGGCAGTGGAACAGACATCTATGAACAAACAAACAAGAGAAAATTAACATGGACTTAACCCTCACGCTTTATGCAAAAATCATCTCAAAATGAATCACCTATACAAACTGTAAACTATAAAGCTTTTAGAAGAAAATATAGATTAAAATCTTTGTGCGTTGTGGTTAGTGGATTCATAAGCATGACTCTAAAAGAATTCTTTCTTAAACTGATATGATGGCCCACACCTTTAATCCCAGCACTAGGGAGGTAGAGGCAGGTGGATCTCAAAGAGCCAGCCTGGCCTACATATTGAGTTCCAGGACAGCCAATGCTACAGAGTGAGACCCTGACTCAAAAAAGGAGAGGGGCTTCTTCCTTTCATTTGATTTAATTTTGAGATAGGGGTGTCACTACATAGCCCCGGCTGGCCTGGCTCACCAGGATGCACCTGCCTCTGCCTCCTGAGCGCTGGCATTAAAATCATTCACCACTAAGCCCAGCCCAAAAGAGTGAGTTCTAAAATAGAAGCTTGCTTAATTAGACTCAATCAAAATGAAAATGTTGGCTCTATGAAAAGGAACTGAGGGCTGGGTGGGATGTCTCAGTGGGCAGGAGTCTGCACCAAGCTTAACAATTTGAGTCAACAGTCCTCCGGCTTCCGCACATGTGCTCTGGCACACGTATGACCCTCACACACAAAAGAAATAAATGAAAAAAAGTTAAAAATGAACTGAAAAGTGGAAAACTAGTAGAAAATACTTACAAATAGCATATCTGACACCCCCACCCAGTATTCATCCAGATTATGCACAGAACACCCATAAATCACCAGTAAGAAAATAGTACAGTTTAAAAGTGGATAAAGCACTTTAAAAAAAAAAAAAAAAAAAAGTGCCTGAGCTACCGAAGACGGCAAATAGGCACACAGAGAGATCTTTCATCACTGGCCATAGGAGAAATGCAATTTTTAGCCACAGTGCTCCATCAGTATTTACCTGTCAAACAGCTAAGATTCAAAAACTCTGGCAATGATACACAGAAATATATATATATATATAAAAAGACACTCATGAAAATAGTTTGGTAGTCCCTTCGAAGGTTAAATATGCACTTTGCATATGCCAGAGATTTTACTTAGATATAGACATATCTACAGATCCAGATAGAGAGAAATAGAAACCTATGTTCACAGAGAGACCTCTCTGAGATTGTTCAGAGCATCTTTATTTGTAACAACCCCACACTAGAAATAGCCCAAAGCTCCTCCAGTGAATGAAAGGATAAACTGTTGTACATTCATACTATGAAATAAAAGTTGTCAACTACTGGTACACGTAAAAGGAGATGAACCTACAGAATATTATGCAAGGGGAAAGAAGCTAGTCTTAAAAGGACACAATACTGTCTGATTCCAGTGACATACATTTTTGAAAAAAAAAAAAAAGATAAATTAGCATGGCTTAGAATAGGAGCAAAAGGAAGACGAGGCTACAAATAGGTGGCTATGGGAGTTTATGGGATTTTGAATTATGTAAATCAATATATATGACAATATACATGTTAATTTAGGACAATGAACAAATCAACTTAACTTCCTGTTAAAGCAAAACTAAAAGAATTGTGTGTCTCATCAGACACTGGTTGGTATGGAGCGCTATGCTGTGAACTGATAATTTTCTTTTGTGGGCTTGTCACCTCCTCTGGTGGGATCAGACTCCATGCTCTTCCCTCAGTACTGAGTGAGGGAGTACTGCTTCCTTGGAGGAAGCCCAAGAGTCGCAGAAACTAGGGGACAGGGATAGCCCAGACAATTGTGATTCTGAAAGGAGTAAGGGCAGAGCAGATCTGGACACAGGAATGACCTCCTGACAAGGGCCCCTATCGTTCCTGGATTCTGTGTGGGGCTATGACCAACACCCCTCCTAAGGCCCTGGGGAGTGGGCAGGAGAGATAGCCTGGGGTGAGACAGCCCTTGCAGTCCCATCAGGCCCTGATTCCCATTGTCCTTGGGTCTGATAACCTGATAACGGGCTCCACCCTTCGAGCCCCCTTCCCTCTCCCAACCAGTGGCCACAGCCTGTTAGGGCCCCTGACTATGGGTATATAAGGGGTCACTTAGACAAGCACTGTCAGGCCAGTCTTGAGTGCTTTCAGCTCTAGCTCAGCCTCCAACACTCACCACCACCACCGCCACCACCATGTCTCTGATGAAGAATGAGAGAGCCATCATCATGTCCATGTGGGACAAGATGGCTGCTCACACGGAGGCCATTGGCACTGAGACTCTGGAGAGGTAAGTCCAGGCACCATGGCTTGAGTAACCAGATCAAAGAGGGACTGATATCAGCAAGAAGAGGGTGACCAGGACAAGTTAGTGAGGAGAAGCCATGAGGAGGGGACGGTAAGGATGGTAAGGACAGAAGCAGTGAGGAAAGCATGGAGGGAACCGTGAAATTAGGACTGGTGAGAAAGGGGTCCAGGCAGGCAATGAGCTGTTAAAGAAGGCGGATTGGCATTCTCAGCCCTCACCAAAGTCTTCCATAGGGCCTTGCCATATGGAACCTGGTGCAACAGGAAACAGTAACATCAGTCTCGGTTGGTTTTGTTTTTTTGTTTGTTTGTTTTGTTTTGTTTTCTGTTTTTTGAGATTTATTTACTGTGTGTGTGAGAGAGAGAGAAAACAGATGCCTGTTGAAAATAGAGGCATCAGATCTCCTTGCACCTTAGTTACAGACAGTCGTGAGATCTCTTCAAAGGTAGTAAGTGCTCTTAACCACTGAGCCGTCTCTCTTGACCCAGTTTTTGTTTTGTTTTTTGCATTATTCAATGTACTTTTTTCTTAACATTTAATTTCGTTTCTTTAAACACTGTAAAATTACTGGTTTGTTTTCTTTTTCTGTCTGGAAGTTCTTTAAATTGGCGTACCCCCTAAATTTTGAGCCCAAGGCGAGAGACGGGGCCCTAGCCCTCCGCCTAAGCAACACTCACAGAACTGACGCGCTCTCCCGACCTCCAGGCTCTTCTGCAGCTACCCCCAGACGAAGACTTACTTCCCTCACTTCGACCTGCACCATGGGTCGCAGCAGCTGCAGGCCCACGGCTCCAAGGTCCTGACCGCTGTGGGCCAGGCGGTTAAGAACATCGACAACCTCTCTAGCGCTCTGACCAAGCTGAGCGAGCTGCACGCCTACATCCTGCGTGTGGACCCTGTCAACTTCAAGGTGGGTTTGCGAGAACGGAGCGGGATGTCGTGAGGGAAGGAGACAAGGAAGGGTGGGAGGGGGTCTCCGCTGCACCGATCACTGATCTTCCCTTCCCTCCTCCGCAGCTCCTGTCGCACTGCCTGCTGGTCACCCTGGCCGCGCGCTTCCCTGCCGAGTTCACGGCTGAGGTGCACGAAGCCTGGGATAAGTTCTTGTCTATCCTGTCTTCCATCCTGACCGAGAAGTACCGCTAAGCGGCGCCTCCACGATCCCCACTAGACCGGCTACGACCCTTCTCCCCTTCATTGAACCCTCCCGCCGGCCTTTCCCGGAATTCCCAATAAATGGTTGAAGAAGGAAATGACTTGTTCTGTGCTCTCAGTCTTGGAGGGAAAGGGGGCGGGACACCACAGGATGCCCTGGGGGTTTGCGGGAACATTGTGGTCACACACTGCCTGGAGGACATTCCTAGGGTGGCTGGGGGGAGGGTCTTGCCCTTGAGGACCCCAGAGTCACAGCACGCAGGAAGCAGAGCATCCCTGGGCCAGCCCACGCAGGTCCTGGCGCAGAAGGGCAGCTGGGCCTCCCCTCCCCTTCCCAAATCGCTTCACACAGTGCAGTGCATGGGTATCAGGAATTCCTCAAAGTCTGACGTATCGCCACCCCAGCAGCTAGGGTAAGGAGTGTCTCTGTTTCTAAAAGAATGAAGGACTTCTGGCAAGTGCCTTTATAGGAGTAATTACAGGTTCACGAGTTCGAAACGGAGGTACCCACGCACAGAGGTGAGTCTGTGACAGAAGCTCCATCCGTTGGCCTCTTTCTGGGCTCTGGACATGTTTCTGTGAACAGGCTGAGGGGCTCTGTGTTCCTTCCTGCTGAACTCCGCGGATCAGGGCAGACTGGGTAGGGGAGCGCCGTATGAAGAGAACAGCCTAGAGCACTCCTCACCTGTGCCAAACTCAGCACCCTAGAGCGCGGCCACAATGTAGCTCATCCCCTGCCACCGGGCACACTTAGGGCAGCAGGTGCTACTTGCGTGGAGAAGGCAGGGTGGTCTCCAGGGCCTCTAGAAAGCAGCTCAGGACCAGTCCACACAAGTCCTCAGTCAGACCCTAGCTCTCCACCTTAGCATGTCAGGGATGTGAGACACAGCGCTCACCTGAGGCTTTTCCAGGGCCCTGGGCAGTGCTAGGGTTAGGTGGAATCACATGGCTCCCTGCCTGCTCCCTGATCTGTTCAGGCAGGTGTATCCCAACATCAGGGTTTCCAGTAACTAAATGCTTATTTAGTTGGAAGAGGTGCTGCTAATCCTCAAACCCATGCTCGCAGCTATGTACGTGGTTATGAGAACTGAAATGCTCTGATGCTTATGTGGACCCTGTCAACTTTTCTGTGAACCTATTCAGCCAGCATAACCGTCCAGGACATAGCCGGATGTCTTCCAGGGGAGTTCCTGTGGCTGAATGGCTGACCTATCTCTCTTCCTGTATCTGCTAATCCAGTGTTCCGGGGTGGTACAGGCCTCCCACCTGCAGGGCGAGTTCACTGTGGAGAAGCACAGGACAAGTTCTGTGGTGGTGGAACAGAAACACTGCTGAGTCACAGGCCTTGGTCTGTGCACATCAGTTAACAGAGGCTTCAAAACAGTGTGTGACTTTTTGAAGAGCGAAACTGGTTACCTCTCCCTTCTTTGCTGGGCAAAGAAGTTCAGCATCCCTCAGAGAGTCTCCTAGAATTTTTTAAATGTCCACTAAAGGTTTACTTTCCTAAGTCTCTAGCATGCCTTGGGGTAGAAGGAGAGCTTAGATGGGGGCAGGAGAGTGTATTCTTTTCCAAGTCAAATCTGGCACCAACGTATGTCATACCATTTCCAAAGCAGATCCATGCTTTTTCATGCACCCCTCCTCCCTTCATCTCTTTGTTGGGACTACCAGCAGCTAATTCCCCTGAACGTTTGCAAACAAATATGGAACCAAGGCCCCCCTGGGATCAAGTGTATAACCTGAAGCCTGGAAGAATTGGGTGGACTCAGGTCTCCACTTCACTCCACGCTCCTTCCCAGCATGCTTTCTCTGCAACAAACCTTGACCTAGAACAGGTACCTCTTCAGTGGCACATCCTGGGTGAGGCAGAGGCAGGCGGATCTGGTCTACATAGAGAAACCCTGTCCCCCCAAAAAAAGTACCCTCTCTCTGAACTGCATAGCATAGAGCATAGGGAGAGTGGAAAATGGTGGCCACATGTGGCAAAAAGGTCCCACTGACAAGCTGGTTGGTTCTGTGCATGTCTGAGCTAACAGGCAGACAACCATGAACACACTAGTTTTTTAAAAATTCTTTTGAGATCACAATGCATGTTGGATACCTGACAGTAGCTCCTCACCCCAACCTGGACACTTAAACTTTGGGGCTCTCTTCCGTGAGATACCTTCATCCAAGTCCTGTCTCCACACTCCCAGATTATCTAGTATGCAAAAATAAAATAAATAAAAAAATAATCACAAGTCTCCTGTGGTTTGTTGGCAAAGAACAAAGACTAAAGAGAGCAAAGACTAAAGGAGCTCTGTAAACACTGAATTCATTCTGTCTCCAGGGTGTTATCTCATAGTCTGTGTAAAGAGCGCTAGACCTGGTTTAGCACAATACCAGATCTGAAAAGGGATGCCCTTGTCCATGGCTCCCTGAACTCTAGTAGCTGGTGTTAAGGGCCTGTTACCCTGAATTGCCTGAGCACTAGCTGAGCAGAGGGAGAAGGGAAACTTAACAACTCCCCCCCCCATTGTTTACATGAACAAGAAAAAGCTTTAGTCCTTGGGAAAATATGACAGAAGATGCAATAGAAGAGTGCCTGCCAGTGAGTTGGATAGGCCAGTAAAATCGCTTTGCCATGAAGCCTGGTGACCTAAGGTAAAATCCCCAAGACCACCATGGTGAAAGGAGAGAATGACTACCAACAAGTTGTCCTCTGACTTCCAAACGTGTGCCATGGCACAAAGGTATATACACAAACACACACACACAATCCATCATTCAATCAAGCAATATAATTTAGAAGTTTAAATATTGTACTCCTCTCCCCAAGCCAGTCTGGGTCTGGGCCACATAAGAATGGAGTGTGCACTTAGAAGTTTCTAGAAAATGTGCAAGAACCACAAGACATGTTAGTTTACAACAGAAAGAATATGGACACTGCCTGCATGGTGCTGAGAGACTTAAAGGAGCCAAGGGAGCATAGTAGAGCCCTGACTCCTCCCATACGCACTCTCTCAGTAACGGACCGCCCCAGATCAGTGAGCTCAGGCCAGGAACCGGCTGCACACATACCTCCCCCAATACACTACCTCGTGCAGCCATCTCCTGCATACTGTACAAAAATATACAGTGCTCCACACATCCCCAGTTCTGGCTCAGACACAGTCTGGCTGCAGTCCTTCACGGTACTTGCCCCAGCTTTTCCCAATCCCCTTTATTAGCACTTCTTTTCATAGGGTGTTTAGTACTTTCCTGAGGACCTGCTTCCCAGACTATAGCCAGAACCCTGACTCTGTCCACATTAAGACCCAAGCCAAAAAGGTAGCCCATGAGCTGAGCCATGAAGTGGACCAAATAAACAACTTCCCTACTCTTTTGTCAGGTCTCAGGAACTACATATCCACCAGCTGTGAGTGTCCCAGGCCAACTTCAAAGTCAGCAAGGAGATAGGTAAAGGGGTGAAGGACCCAGAGCATAAAACCAACCCCAAGAGTTCCAGAAACTAAAGTTAGGCACTCTCAGCTGCCCCTGTGCTCTTTCCATAGCACCTGATGATGCCAGCCTCCACCCAGATAAAGACACCTCAGAGGTGACTACACTCTGGACACTTTTGGGGACTGGTGGCCAAGGAGCTGACTTCCAGATTCTGTTAAACCAGAACCTGAGGGACAGAACCCCTGCTATCCCAGGTCCTGCTCCATTCTACACCTGCATGTCCTGAATAAAATCTGCCTGGGTGACATCCTATGTGTCTAGGTTCCCTGTGTCACTAACATGTCAGCAGTGACCATGGTTCTACTGCCTTGGTCCAAGGACATTTCTGGAGCTGCAATAGGAGAAGGGAGGGAGCAAGTGGGAACAGCTAGAAAATCCGCAGGCCCTAGGGAGAGCCGGTCTTCCCAGGTTGGTTCTCTCGAAGGACTGAGGAGGACAGTCCTAAGATGTGCCACATTATTGACCTATACCAGCTACAACATAGAGCAAAGCAAAACAAATCTTCAGGACAATAGCCCCAGCCACTGTGGAGACTGAGGCAGGGGCATAATTAGTTCAAGGGCAGGCTCAGCCTTGAAATAAACTGAGCTACTAAGTGTTTTGGTGCACAACTGTAATCCCAAAACTTGAGAGATGGAAAGAGTAAGGTCAGATGTTTAAGACCAATGGAAGCACAGAAAAAGAAAAGAAAAGATCAAGTCTGGCACCAGCAATGTGCAGTGCAAAGGCCAGCTTGGGCTATATGAATACCTGTTCCAAAAATAAAAAGAAAAAAATCAGAGAAGGGAGGAAGGAGAAGGAAAAGAAATGAGAGGGAGAAAGGAAAAGAGAGAGAGAGAGGAGACAAAGAGAAGAAATGAATAGCCATTTAGATTACCCCAGATACTTTTAAAAAAAATTTTATTCCAGTTGGGAGTTAGTCCTTCTACTCTGTCTCTCTCATCCCAAGTCAAAGAAGTTACAACTGAGCTCAAGGGTTTCCACTGACAACTACCTCATGCTCTGGGTTCTTTTTTTTTTTTATCTGTTTATTTTTGCAGGGCTGGGGGCTAGATCCAGAACTTTCCTCATGCTAGGTAAGCATTTTGCTATTCACCTACATCCCAGATGTTTCATTACTGTTTGTGTCTATTACAAGCATGGGGTCTCTCTTCCAAAATGCTGACCTTAAACTCCTGCCTCAGCCTGTCAGTACCAGAGGCTCCCCATGTGTGACACGAAACTCAGCTCTCAGCGTTTCCTTATTTATCCACCATAGCAAGGGGCAGCTAAGATGAAAGTCAGAGTCTGGTGACCTGCTCCTGCAGTTCCAGATACCCAGAAGGCTGAGCTAGGAGATTCACTTGAGCCAAAGGATTCCAGGCCAGCCTGGACAATACAGCAAGACTTGGCCACAAAAAAGAAGTAAAGGAGAGACAGGGAAAAAAAAAGAAGAAAAAAAAAAAGAGAGAGAAGAGAGAGTGGACAAAGGGGAAGAGAGAGGGGAGAGGGTAGAAAGGACAGCAGGACGGCTCCTCTGTGGGTCGCTAGCATTCTCCCCTTCTTGTTCTCAGAATCAGGGTGAAGCCTGGGGCTGGGGCCAAAGCAGAGAGAATGTGTTGGTTAGGAAGGAGAGAAACTGGGACCCAGTTGTTGGTGGAGGGGGATGGGCACTGCTCAGGCTGGTCTGAGCGACTTGCTTCTCTGTCCAAGGCAGTGGGACCCTTACTTCTTCCCAAACACCAATCATGAGAGACATAGGAAAGGCAAGAAGCATCCTGGCGGGGGATCAGGATTCTCAGACGCCCCGAGAGGCCCCCACCCTGGGGGCCCATTATCAGCCTGCTCTGCAGCTCTCCTCTCCTCACAGGCCAGCCAATGGGAACCTCCCCGAGGGCGTGTCCCAGGCGCTGCAGGCTTATAAGTGCGGCTTGCTACAGGCCCAACACACTTCTGATTCTCACAGACTCAGGAAGAAAGACATCATCATGGTGCTCTCCCCGGACGACAAAACCAACATCAAGACCGCCTGGAGCAAGATTGGCGGCCATGGTGCTGAGTATGGCGCGGAGGCCCTAGAGAGGTGAGATGGGGCTTTGGCTCTGCAAGGCCGGTGGGACCCAAGGCAAACCTGGCGCTCAGTGGGCAGCTCCTAACTTGCTTTCCTGTGGCCTCAACTTCTCCTCCCACCTTCTTCGCCTAGGATGTTCGTTAGCTTCCCCACCACCAAGACCTACTTCCCTCACTTTGATGTAAGCCACGGCTCCACCCAGGTCAAGGGCCATGGCAAGAAGGTCGCTGACGCGCTGGCCACCGCCGCAAGCCACCTCGATGACCTGCCCGGTGCCCTGTCCACTCTGAGCGACCTGCACGCCCACAAGCTGCGTGTGGACCCCGTCAACTTCAAGGTGTGTGCCCGAGCCTGGCAGGCGGCTTCTGGGGTCCCTAGGGAGGGCATGTCCTCGTGCTCGGAGCAGGGGACACAGGGGTCCTAGAAAGGGGAGCCCAGGGCAGCAGGGAGTCCGCGGACTGCCACGGACTGACCCTTCCTGTCTCCGCAGCTCCTGAGCCACTGCCTGCTGGTGACCCTGGCCTGCCACCACCCTACTGATTTCAGCCCCGCGATGCACGCCTCTCTGGACAAATTCTTTGCCTCCGTGAGCACCGTGCTGACCTCCAAGTACCGTTAAGCTGGAGTCTCTGGGCTGCCTCCTGCCCGGCTGGCTTGCCCTCCACCCGGGCCAGCCTCCCTCCCTCGCACCTGTACCTCTTGGTCTTTGAATAAAGCCTGAGTAGGAAGAAGCCTGTGTGCCTGGTTCTCTGCAAATGCAAAGGTGCCACGACTGGTGCTGGGAAGCCCTAGAGTCTAGAGGGCCCCTGGGGCCTTCCCTGTGCTAAAAGCAGGACAGACGGGCAAGGAAAGAGAAGGGAAAGTAGGGGGAAACGGGGCCAACCAGAGTCCTCTGCCTAGGGTTACTGGACAACCCTTTGGCCCCACGGTGCCTGTCTGGGTTCACTTCTACCCTGGGTCTCTCATCAGATTCAACATGAATTTGCTGGAATAAAAGTTTCTCCTCCACTGCTACTGTTCATTTTACACACACGCAAACACACACTCACATGGCCAGACCTTCCAGGAGTCCCCAACAGGCGGCTGAAAAGGTCCTCCCTCACCCTCCCCTGGTCCCCCTTAGAAGCCCAGAAGCAGAACATGAGGGAGTGTGAATGGTGGAACTGCAGACACCATTCCAGTGTGTGCGGGCGGGTGCCACACCCGTATGCCCACTTTTTGGACACTAATGTCTGAGGACCATCAAGAGCTGAAGACCCAGTCTTTGAGGCAGGCTCAGCACCCCCTAGCTCACCCTGCGCTGAGGCCCCTCTCCCCATGGGGCAGTAAAGATGAGGCTCAGAGCCAAAGAGGCATAACCAGATGCCCCCACACACACGCCTTCTCCCTACAGAGCAGGTTCTCAGTCTGGGCAGCAGAGGTTACAAGTGTGGGATCTGCTAGAAAAAAAAAATGCCAAAAATTGAGAGACATCACATGAGCGTGTGGGTAGGCAACACGTGCATACATAAACATCTGTCCTTTCTTCCTTTCTTCCCTCCTTCCTTTCCTTCAGATAGGGCCTCAAATGGCCCAAACTGGCCTCAAACACTTTACACAGCCAAGGATGACTTTGAGCTCCTGATCTTGCTTCCACCTCCTGAGGGCTAATATTTCAGACATGTGCCTCCAAGCCCGGTTTATGCAGTGCTTGGGAACTGAACTCAGGGCTGTACATACACATACACACACACACACACACACACACACACACACACACACACACTATACAAGCATTCCACAAACTGAGCTATGTATGTCCCCTGCAATAGAATAGTCTTCAGCCATGGACACAAAAGAATACATTTCTTACACTACATGGCTGAGCCTTAAAAAAAAAGAAAAATGTTGAGTGGAAGAGGCCAATAGAACAAAAGCCACATAGTGCATGATTTAATATAAAACAGGAGCAAATCTATAGAGACACCAAGCAGCCTCCTGGCTGGCAGGGGCTTGGGATTTGGATGGTTATGATTAGTGGACCAAAGGTTCTGTTTAGGTGAGTAAAGGTCCTGGAACTAGGTAGCGGTGATGATTGCACAGCAGTGTGGATGGAGGAAATGTCTGACTTATGTATATTGAAGGTGGCTAAAATGCACAGGGCTTTGTGGCACACACCTGTAAACCAAGAACTTGGGAGGTGCAGCGTATTCACATGCACACACACAAATAAATAAATAAATAACAAAATCTTTAATACAGTATAGCACATAGAACCAAGTGAGTGCATCATTGTCTCTTGCTGTCATCATTGAGATATATTACAGGTACTCATAAAGGTCACTGTCCCCAAAAACATTTGCCCTGAGATCCAGGCATACAATACTTCTCATCCATTTCATTCTCACAGCTTTGAGAATATATATTTTTTCAAGTTTCATTTATTCATTTATTTGTTTGGTGTGTGGGTGCTCTATCTGCATGCACACCTCCATGCCAGAAGAGGGCGCCAGATCTCATTACAGATGGTTGCTAGGAGTTGAACTCAGGACCTCTGGAAGAACAAACAGTGCTCTTTAACCACTGAGCCATCTTTCCAGCCCGAGAATATATTTTTTTGAAGCAGAGTTGGAATTTATTAAAGAGGATTTTTGCGTGTAGAGTTGGCGTCTCATTATATGGCTCTGGCTGGCCAGGACAGTCTTGAACTCGCAGAGCTCTGCCTCCTGGGCACTAGGATTAACCCATACCTGTACCATACTCTCATTTTAAAGAGCTTTTTTTAAATGTGGTTTGCCTGTTGGATGTCTGTGGGTTACTTGCATGACTGTGGAAGACAGAAAAGGGCTTCGGATCCACTGGACCAGACCTTGCGGACAACTGTGAGTCACCATGTGGGTGCTGGGACCCTGGTCCTCTGGAAGAGCAGTTAGTACTTTTAACTAACTGAGCCATCTTTTAACTAGTGCTGAGCCATCTCTCCATGATTAAACGTGGATTTAACTCTGTGGGATTTAATGAAAAGAGACGTGCTCCAAGAGGAAAAAAAAAAAAAATGTAAGATAAACCCAAGCATGGGTATGGACTCCTCCAGGGAGAATTACGCCAAAAAGAAGCAATCCTTTTCAATAGCGAGAGAGAAGGGGAAGCTTATGAAGTCGCCGAGGAACTCAGGAGGAAGAATAGCTAGTGCCAAAATGTACACTAAAGTCCACTGTAATCTGGTAGTGCATGACAGATACCGTTGTCCGTACAGTAAATACTTTAAAATGTGAGGCTTTGGGGCCCACGGAGACAGAGGGCTTCACGGCCAGGCTGAATCTGGAAACGCGTAGGAGACCTAGAAGGCTGCAGCGCCTCCTGGCGGCATCTTGGGTTTCGGGGCATCTTTGATAACAACCAGGGCGCGGTGCAGGGTCGCTGTCGGTGAAGATGGCTCTGTCCCAGGCCGACCGAGCGCTGGTCCTCGCGCTATGGAAGAAGATGAGCAGCAATGTCGGAATCTACGTGACCGAGGCCCTGGAGAGGTATGGACACGGTCGGGCGCCCTCAGGCTCACCTCCCAATGGGCTGCGGGGCGAAGGCGGGCTCTCTATACCTCCCAGTCCGGATGCGTGCGCCCAACCCTCAGACTTCCCACAGGACCTTCGCGGCTTTCCCCTCCACCAAAACCTACTTCCCACACTTGGACCTGAGGCCAGGCTCTAGCCAGCTTAAAGCCCATGCCCAAAAGGTGGCCGAGGCACTGACTCTCGCTGCCTGGACGCTGGACGACGTGCCCGCTTCTCTGTCTGCTCTCAGCGATCTGCACGCGCACAAGCTCCGCGTGGACCCCGTCAACTTTGAGGTGAGCCCTGGGTCTGGGCTGCGCCTGTGGTCTCTGGAGATGCGGTTCCCCTCGAGGCTCGGCTCGGCGGGGAGAGATAAATGCAAGGCGGGGCGGTTCTCTTTCTTCAGTTCTTCAGCCACTGTCTGCTGGTAACTCTTGCCCGGCACTATCCTGGAGACTTCAGCCCGCAGATGCACGCCTCCCTGGACAAGTTTCTGAGCCATGTGACTTCGGCACTGGTCTCCAAGTATCGCTGACCTGAGGGACACGACAGCGATGTGGTCTCCAGCCACGCCCTTCCTCAACCTCACAAAATCTGAGCAAACCTCCCCAGGGGCTACATCGCTGTCTTGTCTGCAGAGGGACACAGGAGAAATGTACACCCCGCTCCCGGTATCCCAAAGTAATGTTGCAAGAGGCTGGAATTACAGCTAAGCTGGTGTCAGAGACCTCAAAGGAAAGTCGGCAGTTCCTTGTTTTGTTTTGTTTCTGTCTTTGGGATAGGTTTCATGGTCTCATGTACCCTAGGCTGGTCTCCCAAAACCATAATACGGACTAGGTTGGTCTTGAACTGCTGAGCCTTCTGTTTCAAGCCCCATCTCCAACCCATCCACTCCCTACTCCCCAACCACCAGTAAATGGATTACAAGGCATGCCCCATCACGCCTGGCTCCACAGAGGCTCTTTTTATTTTAACCTAACCTTTTGTTTGTTTGTTTGTTTGTTTGTTTTCTGTGTTGGAGATGGGAGAAAGGCCTCCCGCACAGCGCGCTCTAAGCGGCCTGGGGAAGACACGGGTACTCTGCGAATGAATTCAGCCTTTAGATTAGAACAGGAAGAAAGGTGCTGTAGAACGCACTGCAAAGGGCAGTGGGCTGGGCAGTGACAAGCGTGTCACCTGCAGCTTAGGGCCAGCTATCTAGCACCTTCACATGGCCCTAAGTGTCAGAGGAGGCTCATGCGCTATCTCCACGGCAGAGGTCTATGACACAAATGCAAGTCTGTAGCCTTAGTCACACCAGAGAACGGTGACAGGTTACAGAGGTCACAGGTCAGCCTAAGTGACAATACTCAAAACAATGGCTCATTCCCCAGCCATCACCCTCCCCTGAGCTTTTGGTTGGGCCTTTCTCTCACCTCTGCTCAGATTCACGGGCATAAAGAAAGCATGTCTGGGGGTGTATTGGTGCTAGAGCCCTTCTCTGTTTCCTGGCTTCCTCTCCTCCCCAGCAATGCAACAACCAAACCAAATAAAAACAAGACAGCACAGCAAACATGGGCTGTTCGGACACCCTAGTGAGTCTGTCGTTGCTTGTATATAGTCTGCTTGTATATGATTATACCTGTTCTGGTACAGTCACAGGGGCCAGATTTGCTCTGATCCTTGCCTTTTCCCATCAGAGGGTAGGAATGTAGGGAATCCTGGTCGCTCACAGTAGCCCTGAGAGAGGCAACCAGACAGGCAAGTCACAGCAGAGTGCCGCTGAGGGCACCCACAGCACAATAATGTTCTTTCTTGTTGTAGCTCATGAGGCAAATAGGTACCTTTCCTTAGCTCAAGACCCAGCTCATGTCCCATTCTCTTGATCCACCCCCGGCTACTGGGACCTCCTTCTGGGTCTACTTTCCTGCTGTTAGCAGCAGCCACAAATGCCACTGTCCCAGTCTGAGCCCCTGGCCCTAGGCTGGCATCTTGAACACCCTGCCTGGACGTTGATCCTTATGAATACAGTGGGATCTTGGTTGGTAGACCCTAGGACTGAGAGCGTCAGCCTCAGTAGCTGGATACAGCTTTTTAGGCGGTATCCAGCCTAAAAAGGTATGGTCTCTCCCCTGTACATGAACGCACACTGCATACTCTGCTCTCTAAACAGGAGCCTCTTTGAACACAGGAGTAATTTCTTCTCCTCTACTCCCATGAGCTACCTCTTTGCCTCACAGATAAGCTACCTTTATGAAAATGTAGGGAAACACTTAAGAAACAAGCTGGAAGCCAGATGTGGTGGCACACGCCTATAATCCCAGCATTTGGTGAGGTAGAGGCAGCCAGATCTCTGAGTTCAAGGCCAACCTGGTCTACACAGTGAGTCCAGTACAGCCAAGCTTACAAAGAGAAACCTTATCATGAAAAGAAAGGAAGGAAAGAAGGAAGGAAGGAAGGAAGGAAGGAAGGAAGGAAGGAAGGAAGAAAGAAAGAAAGTTATGGGTTAGCAATTATGAGGATATTCTGCTCTTACACAGGACCCATATTAGATTCTTAGCGTCCACATCAGGCAGTTCTCAAGAGCTTGAAAGTCCAGTAGTTGCAGGAAGATCTGATGCCCCTGGCTGCCAATGACACTTCACACAGGTACATACAAATATATGTGTGAATAAAAATAATAAGACAAATACTTTTTTCTTTTTTAAAAAGACTTGTTTCATTTATTATGTATTCAATGTTCTGCCTGCATTCGTGCCTGCACACCAGAAGAGGTGCACCAGATCTCAGAGATGGTTGTGAGCCACTGTGTGGTTGCTGGGAATTGAACTCATCACCTCTGGCAGAGCAGCCAGTGCTCTTAACCCCTGAGCCATCTCTCCAGCAAGTACCTCCTGTTTTAGTGTGCCAGTGGGAATGGCTCAGTACTTGTGCAGAGATCAGAAGACAATCTGCAGGAGTTGGCTCTCTTCTTCTGTCATAAGGGTTCCAGGAATCAACTCTGATTAGCAAGCTGACTGGCAAGCGCTTTTACTGGCAGAGCCCTCTCACTGGCTCCCAAACTACAAATGATTACATAAGTAAAACCCACATAAACACTAACTATAGATAACAGCAGAACTGAAAAAAAAAATTTAAATTAGCCGGGCGTGGTGGCACATGCCTGTAATCCCAGCACTCAGGAGGCAGAAGCAGGAGGATCCCTGTGAGTTCCAGGCCAGCCTGGTCTACAGGGTGAATCCAGGACAGCCAGGGCTATGTAACAGAAAAATCCTGTCTCAAAAAGACTACAGGAAAAAAGTAAATCATTTAGTGTATGAACAGAAAAATCCTGTCTCAAAAGACTACAGGAAAAAAGTAAATCATTTAGTGTATGTCTCTCCATGTGTGCGTATATATATATATGTACCAAACACTAATTTTTTTGAGATTATATAATTACACAATTTTTCTCTTTCTCCCTTCTATGGCTTCCATGTACAACCTTCCTCCATCTCTTTTAAATTTATGTCCCATATGTCTGCTTCGGTCATATAATTTTATTTATATGTACATGTTTCCCAGGCTGACTGACCATTTGGAGTTGGATAACCAATCACTGTGCTCTTCCCTTGGGGAAGACTCTTCCTCCTGCTCTCAGCTTCCCTTAGTTGCATAAAGTCCTTTGTGTAGGGTTGAGGCCTTGTGAGCTTTGCTCCTTCCGATAGCATCTCTATTAGTGGCGTCTTTGTTCAGGCAAATGTTTTTAAAAAGCTCCTATTTGATTATATTAGACAGACTGTTTTAATTTTATTTAAATTTTTTTATGTGTATGCGTGCGTGCGTGCCTGAGTGTATGTATGCGCACTACTACCACATAGGGGCGTGAGGAGAGAAGAGGAGGTGTTGGGTCTCCTGGAACTGGAGTTCCAGACGTCTTTGAGCTGCCATGAGGGTCCTGGGAAGCAAGCCCAGGTCCTCTTCAAGAGAAATGTTCTTAACTGCGGAACCATTTCTCCAGTTCCTGAAATGTAATTTTCTTTGAAATAAATACTTTTTTTTAAATATATTTATTTTTATTTTATATACATTGGTATTTAGCCTGCATGTATGTATGTCTGTGTGAGGCTGTCAGCTCTTGGAATTACAGACAGTTGTGAACTGCCGCATGGGTGCTGGGAATTGAACCCGGGTCCTCTGGAAGAGCATTTAGTGCTCTTAACCACTGAGCCATCTCTCCAGCCCCTGAAATAAATACTTTTAAGAAATGTTTTTATCATCTCTAATCCCAGCACTCCAGGAGGTAGAGCCAGGTGAATCGCTGCGAGTGCAAGGCCAGCCTGGTCTACAAAGTGAGTCCAGGACAGCCAAGGCTACACAGAGAAACCTGACTCGAAAAAAAGAAATTTTATGTGTATGAATGTTTTGCCTGCATGTATCTATGCACCATGTTTGTGCCTTGTGACTGACCATGGAGGTCAGAAGAGGGTGTCAGATCCCCTGGAACTCGAGTTACAGATGGTTGTGAGCCACCATTGTAGGTACTGTAGGAGCTAAAAACTGAACCCAGGTCCTCCCCAAGAACAACACATCCTCTAAACAGCTGAGCCATCTTTCCATTCCAGCCATATATATATATTTTTTTTTTTTTTCAAGCCAGGATTTCTCTCTATAACTGCCAGGTTGTGCTGGAACTCAATTTGTAGACCAGGCTGGCCTTGAACTCACTGAGATCTGCCTGCCTCTGCCTCCCAAGTGCTGGGACTAAAACACTGCACCACCAAACCTGGCTTTATATTTTTGAATTAGATAAATCTCTAAAAAACAGTAAAGGGAACTATAGGAACAAATATCGTAAGTCAAAAATCTTATCAAAAGTGAATATGTACAGACAGGCATAGTGTCACACATTTTTAATCAAAGCACTCCAAAGGCAGAAGTAAAGAGATTCCATCAGTTCAATGCCAGCCTGATCTACAGAGCAAGTTCTAGGCCAGTGAGACCCTGTCTTAAAAAAATAAATAAGTAAATAAAAATCCCTGTGCAAACACAGGCTGGGGAAGAATGGCTTGTGTAGCTGCAGGCTGGCAGGAAGGACAGTTAAGCAGCAGATTGCTGTACAATGCAGTTGCTCTGAAAGGAGTCTGAGAACTGGTGTCACTTCAGAAGCCTCGCTTGTGTGACTTCCCTGGCTGTTAGCAGGAGCTAGAACTCTCTTGTCCTGGGTTTGAAGCCACTGGCTCTAGACTGGTTTCTTAGACAGCCTACCTGGCTTCTGTGTTCCAGAACTTGACTTAGGTTTCCAGGCTTTTTCTGGAAGGAGCCAGTGTATGTTGCACTGGCTACAGCTTTCAGGAGGTTGGCAAGTACCACATTTACTAGTTTCTGGGCAAGGACTGTTTTAAATACCTGGGCAGTTCTTTCTTCTTCTCCCCTGAAGACTCGTCTTGACTTTTTCCCTCACAGTCAACCCATTTTTATTTATCTTATTTTATTTTATTTATGCATGTTTGTATGTATGCCACATGTGAGATGCCCACAGAGGTCAGAAGTGGGTGTCAAATCCCCCAAAGCTAGAGCTGAGTAACAGGTAATTGTAATCCACCTCACATGGGTGTAGGGAACCAAACTCAGGTCCTCTGAAGGGCAGCAAGCACTCTTCACTGCTGAGCCATCTCTGCACCCACCTCAGTTGTATTTATATGTAGGAAAACATGTAAGAAACAAGCTGAAGTCCACCCAAACTTTCATACCCTTCTGTGTTATCAATAGAGAGAGTCTCTATCCTATCTCTCCACCCAGAAAAGGCTTAAGTAAAGTTTGGGACTTTGCCTAGTGTCATTAAGTCTAAAGAAAGACATGTCTGGAGAAAAGGAGGGATGAAGGAAGGGAGGAAAAAAGGTGGGAAAGAAAAAAGGTAGAGGAAGGAAGAAAGGGAAGGAGAAGAAGAGGTTGAAGAGAGGAAGGAGAAAAGAAAGAAGACAAGAGGAATTTGGCTGCTCTATTCTCTCTGAGACTAAGACTTACACTTCAAGGATCTCAGGGAGGAAAGACTGAAACAGTGTGGAGAGAGAAGGGAGGCTCAGGCCAGGGGCAGGCATTCCTTATGCCTCTGAGTCCCCAGTACCTTATCTTTCTTGTCCAGATGAAGCTTGTGGTTGGGGCTATGGCAAAAGCAAGAAAAGGGTAAGAAGAGACGATGTGGGGAAAGCATAATATGAGGCAGTCTGCCAAAGGCAATGGGACCTCTGGGCTTCCCAGACAGCTATCTGGCAGAGATGGGAGCAGGAAAAAGGAAAAGGCTGGAGTCAGTGAACAAGGTGATGGCAGCCCACTGTAGACCCACCCTGTGGCATTAAGGGTGACCAAGCTGAAGCATGTGCTGGTAGCTTGTCCCTCATATACTCCCACCCTAGCTACAGATAACATACCCAGTACTCTTTGGGTCCAGCATTCTGAAACACACTCTAAAGAACCCACTATGGCACGTGCTAATGAAGATAAGCCTTAATCAAGACGAGTGGTACATTGTAGCACAGAAGCCCTAGAGAGGTAAGGAAACCTGCCTGCCCTGACAGGTCTCTGGAGTGCAAAGGTGTCCTTCCATCACTCAATCTCTGTCTCTTGCCTTTCTTCCTATAAAAAAAAAATTCCAGAACTTTCCCACCCTCAAGACCTACTTCCTTAACTAGGACATGAGCCCCTCTCTGCCAAGGTAGCAGCCCAAGGCCATCAACACCTCAGGCCATCTAGATAACCTTTGCACTGCCATGTTGGATGTGAATTACATCCTTGTCCACCACCTGCATGGCAGAGACCTGGGTACTGAGGCACTGCCGGACACTTACCGAAGCCTAGAGAAGCCCTTGTGCTACCCACAGCCGCTGACTATGTTCCCTCTCCCCATAGTTCCTGAGCCAAGCATGCCGCTAAGTATGGCCAAGCAACATGAGTGAATCATTCATTCCTGAGGCTCATACCTCCATGGACAAGATTTTTTTTGCTGCTGTGAATACAATGCTAACCTCCAGCTACAGCACAGGTTCGTCCTTTTGGCCCATGACCAGGTCCTTCCTGTTATAAACCTGCACCTCTTGGTCTGAATAAAATGTGTGTACACCTGAGTTGTCTGAGTCCCTGACATGTCAACAGAGAGTATGGTCCTACTGCCTTGGCCCAGGAACCTTTCAGAAGCTGTAGTGGGGGAGAAGAGCAAGAGAAAAGAGTTGCAGAGAAGTTTTGAATCAATGCCTTTGTCCTGGGAAGGACTAACCCTTAAGAGATCCTCTCAGGGGACAGTAGGAGAGTCCTAATACATGCCACTTCTTTTGAAATATCATTTGACCCATACAGCTAAGAATACAACATAGATCACAACAATTTTATACACACACAAGAAAAGAAAGGAATGGAGAGAAGAGAGAAAAATAAAAGTGTAAGAAAAAAAGAAAAAATAATTCCCCAGACATTTTGTTTGTTTGTTTTGTGTAAGAGCCCTGGCTGTTCTGGACTTACTTTATGGACCATGCTCTGGCCTCAAACTCACAGAGATCCACCTGTCTCTGCCTCCCTGGAATTACAGGCATAGGCCACCAAACCTGACACTTTTTTTTTAAAGACTTTTTTTATTTATACAGTGTTCTGCCTGTATGCCAGAAGAGGGCATCAGATCTCATTTCATTATAGATGGTTGTGAACCATCATGTGGTTGTGGGAATTGAACTTAGGACCTTTGGAAAAACAGCCAGTGTTCTTAACCTCTGAGCCATCTCTCCAGCTCCCTGCACCTGACACTTTTTGCAGAGGCTGACCTTAAATTCATGGCCTTAGGCAATCTTCCTGCCTCAGCCTGTCAGTACCTGAGTTTCCCCATGTGTGACACCAAACCCAGCTCTCAGCGTTTCCTTATTTATCCACCATAGCAAGGGGCAGCTAAGATGAAAGTCAGAGTCTGGTGACCTGCTCCTACAGTTCCAGATACCCAGAAGGCTGAGCTAGGAGATTCACTTGAGCCAAAGGATTCCAGGCCAGCCTGGACAATACAGCAAGACTTGGCCACAAAAAAGAAGTAAAGGAGAGACAGGGAAAAAAAAAGAAGAAAAAAAAAAAGAGAGAGAAGAGAGAGTGGACAAAGGGGAAGAGAGAGGGGAGAGGGTAGAAAGGACAGCAGGACGGCTCCTCTGTGGGTCGCTAGCATTCTCCCCTTCTTGTTCTCAGAATCAGGGTGAAGCCTGGGGCTGGGGCCAAAGCAGAGAGAATGTGTTGGTTAGGAAGGAGAGAAACTGGGACCCAGTTGTTGGTGGAGGGGGATGGGCACTGCTCAGGCTGGTCTGAGCGACTTGCTTCTCTGTCCAAGGCAGTGGGACCCTTACTTCTTCCCAAACACCAATCATGAGAGACATAGGAAAGGCAAGAAGCATCCTGGCGGGGGATCAGGATTCTCAGACGCCCCGAGAGGCCCCCACCCTGGGGGCCCATTATCAGCCTGCTCTGCAGCTCTCCTCTCCTCACAGGCCAGCCAATGGGAACCTCCCCGAGGGCGTGTCCCAGGCGCTGCAGGCTTATAAGTGCGGCTTGCTACAGGCCCAACACACTTCTGATTCTCACAGACTCAGGAAGAAAGACATCATCATGGTGCTCTCCCCGGACGACAAAACCAACATCAAGACCGCCTGGAGCAAGATTGGCGGCCATGGTGCTGAGTATGGCGCGGAGGCCCTAGAGAGGTGAGATGGGGCTTTGGCTCTGCAAGGCCGGTGGGACCCAAGGCAAACCTGGCGCTCAGTGGGCAGCTCCTAACTTGCTTTCCTGTGGCCTCAACTTCTCCTCCCACCTTCTTCGCCTAGGATGTTCGTTAGCTTCCCCACCACCAAGACCTACTTCCCTCACTTTGATGTAAGCCACGGCTCCACCCAGGTCAAGGGCCATGGCAAGAAGGTCGCTGACGCGCTGGCCACCGCCGCAAGCCACCTCGATGACCTGCCCGGTGCCCTGTCCACTCTGAGCGACCTGCACGCCCACAAGCTGCGTGTGGACCCCGTCAACTTCAAGGTGTGTGCCCGAGCCTGGCAGGCGGCTTCTGGGGTCCCTAGGGAGGGCATGTCCTCGTGCTCGGAGCAGGGGACACAGGGGTCCTAGAAAGGGGAGCCCAGGGCAGCAGGGAGTCCGCGGACTGCCACGGACTGACCCTTCCTGTCTCCGCAGCTCCTGAGCCACTGCCTGCTGGTGACCCTGGCCTGCCACCACCCTACTGATTTCAGCCCCGCGATGCACGCCTCTCTGGACAAATTCTTTGCCTCTGTGAGCACCGTGCTGACCTCCAAGTACCGTTAAGCTGGAGTCTCTGGGCTGCCTCCTGCCCCGGGCCAGCCTCCCTCCCTCGTACCTGTATGACTCTTGGTCTTTGAATAAAGCCTGAGTAGGAAAAGCCTGTGTGCCTGGTTCTCGGCATCTGTAAAGGTGGTAGGACTGGTTCAGGGAAGCCTTTAGGCCCTAAGCAGTTTCTCAATCTTTGGAATGCTGTCCCTTTGATACATTCCTTCATGTTGTGGAAACCCCCAACTATAGTTACTTCATTGCTACTTCATAACTGTAATTTTGCTATTAGCAATGTGGCATAATATCCCAAAGGAGTTCAACCCACAGGCTGAGCACTTTTATAGGGCCTAGAGTCTAGAACACATTCCTGGCCTGGGACTTAGGTTGCCTGTGCTGAGGCAGGGCAGAGAGGAAGGGCCAAAGGAGGATGGAGAGAAGAGGGGCCAACCAGAGCCCTCTGCCCAGGATTTCTGAACAACCCCTGGCTCCACAGGTTCTACGTGAATTTGCTGGAATACAAGTTCCTTGTCCACTAGTACCCTTCATTTCATGCAGACACATATATACAAAAATGGGCCCAATGCTCACCTGGACATACATCCACCCTGCAGAGCAGCCCTGGGTTTTGGTTTATCAGGTTTGGTATCAGTACACCCTCAGACCTCATATAAATCCCTGGGTTGAGAGATGGATCTCAAGGGCTATATAGGAAGACAAAATCCCTTGGTAGGAAGAACTACAAAGTCAGGGCTGGCTGTTAGTAACTCTTCGTAGAAACAGCAGTGTCTTTTTCTGTGGGCTCATGAGACATCTTTGGAAAATACCCACTACAGACCATCAGTGCTAGTCCTAGAGGCAGCTGTAGCACATCCTAAGCACCATGAGGTGGGTGGATGTTAGATGCTTCTCACTGCTGTGACAAAATGCCTGACAAGAGCAACTGAGGGAAGGAGTTTTATTTTGGCTCACAGTATAAGGGTACAGTCCTTGTGGTGGGAAGTCAGAGTTGCAGGAACTTAAGGCAGCCGGTCACATTGCATCTGCAGTCAGGAAGCAGAGACGATGGCTAGTGCTCAGCTCTTTTCCTCCTTTTTATTCAGTCTAGGACCCAACATATAGGATAGTGCATCCTATATTCTGGGTTCGTCTTCTCACTGAAACCCTTGGAAATACCTTCATAGACCACTCGGCTGTTTTCATGGTGATTCTAAACCCATCGAGCTAATCAGGTGAACCATCAGAGTGAGTACGTAACATGTTGCTTACACTCAGAATGGAAGTCTTTACCCAAGAAAAGGTTACGAGGCTGAGTTTTGCAGACACTTTGAGTAGAGGAAATCAACACACCAAAAGCCATCCGGGGCATGAGCCCATGTTTGTTAAATACCCAAATGAGCAAACTATAGGGTTTGAAAACAGAAAACAGGTTTTTGGTTGCCAGAGGCTTCAGGAAGAAGCTGGAAAGTTATAGTTAGAGAACTGGAGTTTCTGTCTGGATGAAAACATCCTACAACTTGGTAACAGTGATAACTGCACAACACTGTGGATATATAAATGTCACCGACTTATATACATCAGAGATGGCTATAATGTAGTTTGACTTACAAAGCTTTGCTATAGTTTGGAATCCTCAATGGAATATATCACAGCATTCTATAAATATTACTGTTCTGAAAGGAATATGTGCTAGGAGCCACACACCTAACAGCTGTCCATTTAATGATCTGAGAAGTAATTACTTTTATTTTAGCAGGAAACAAACCCAAGGAAGAGTGTTAAGGACTCGGGAGGCAGAAGACACTGACAATGACAAAACACACACTAAGATTCAGTGTATTCTAATAATGCATGCCAGGCAGGAAAAATGTGAGGCTTTAGAGTCCAGGGAAATTTAAGGCTCTCAGGCCAGTTAACTTTGGAAAAAAGCAGAGCTCACACATCCCAGGACCAGACTGCAGATTAAAGCAGCCACAGCCAAGTGGCTGGCTGACTCTGCTATTGCTGGAGGCCCCGGTCAAGGTAAACCACCTTTCCCAGAGCTTCACTGACTTATCCACATCAGTCATGGCTATAATGTCGTTTGTTAACAGGCCACTGTCAGCCTGTTAACCTCTGCCTGGCCCTGATGTTCCTGAGCCATATGACTTAGGTACGGGCTTCCAAGTTCTGCTGAGCTGACAATGGGTTCTTCAAGGGGAACACCCTGCATCTCCTCTCTCTCTTATCTGTGTAGTAAGAGACTACCCTTCCATTGCAGTTAAGCCAAGTTCCAATCATTACGGATTCCCCAAGGAAATATAATGAAGGCCCAGTCTTTTACCTGTTACAATGACCTTGGGACATTAGGAGATTCAAGAGGCCTCTAACCTGGCAGGTCTAGGGTTAATCATCAAAAATATTGAGGCTGGATTTGACCACCTTGGGCCTTTTGTCCCCCAGAGAGTAACAGGCAAGAATCACAGGTCCCATAAGTACAGTAATCATCTTGCTTGATCAGACAGGACTCTTGGGATGCTTCATGTTCATGTTCATCCTCCTGACCTAGGAGCTTAGGTGCCAGAACATCTAAGACAGTCTCCAAAAGTAGGACAGTGCCACCTGTTGGCACAAGGCTGACCTACACCAGACAAGACAAAAATAACTTCCAACATCAAAGGCTTGTGGGACAGACCTAGGATAGGAAATGGGTCCCCAGCCCTAGCACCTATCGTCTAGGTAGAGGGACCAGGGGCTACCAAACCCTGTTTTCATACGATTTCAGAGAGAAGGTAATGCCTCAGAATCAGTCACAGTCATTGAAGAAACTTGATTCTAACCTGCTGCCCTGCCTCCATTGCTATATCCCAGACACAGAAATATGTCCTACACACCCGTCTTTCACTTCTTACTCAACAGAAAGCAAACTAAGTCCTGTATCAGCAAATAGAAGAAACTGTGAAATCACCTCTCAGAGCACATGCATGACACACATTATATGACATGGGGAAAACTGTGGATTTCAGAGAAGCATTACAATCATCAGCCAGAATTATGACTTCTTTGTTCAATGCACTAGGCATCACCAAAGGCCTGCAAAGAACAAAAGGGTCTAGGAAAGGCATATCTACTCTTTCTGAGCTGGACATCCACCTCCCCCTATGCCCTGGCCTGTGGGTGCTACTGATTACTGGGCCTTGCAAAGGGCAGGATAAAAACTATTGGGTCTCCCAGTTCTTTGGCCTGGAACCTAATCAGCAGCATCCGTCCTGGGCCCTCAGGTTGCAGATGGTAGACCCTACGACTTTTTGCATACTGGCCTGAGCCACCAGCACCCTTGCAAACACACACAACAAATCTCTGGTTATCTATGTCTTCCTGGTTCCCTTTCTCCAGCAATCTTCAATTAAGGAAACATAGTTTACTTAGTTCAGAAAAACATCAGGAGGCAGAGACAGCAGATCTCTGAGTTTGAGGCCAGCTGGTTCTACAGAAAGAATTCCAGGACAGGCAAAGAACTCCTGCCCACCAAACAAACACAAAACAAGAAAATAAAGCACCCAGGTGTGTTGGCATAGTTGTTAATGCCAACTACTTGGGGGCTGAGGCAAAAGTGTCTTCAGCCCTGAAGTTTAGTAGTCTGGGATCAAGGCAAGACTCTTGGCCCTTGCCCAAAAAGTTAAAAACACAAACAAAAAAACTTTTGCCACAATTTCCTTGTAAGATCATCTTCCCCAAGAGACTGAGGCAACTGGCCTTTCTGCAATCCTGAGAACCCTGACCATACAAAAAGAGGCTACCAAAGGAAGGTGTCTGCCTACTGTACCCAAATACCAGTAGCTGTAGCTGTATGCCTCACAAGCCAGGAATTATCCTCTGGCCACATTTCAAAAATGTTCCCAACTTTACTTCCTGATAAAACAAAACAGTTGTTTCTCCACATACAAATTTATATCTAGGCAAAAAAGGACATGTTAATGTTGGCTCTGAGGTTAGGACTGTCTAGTTAAGGCCCCAAAGAGTCCACAAAACAAGTTCCTAGCCTAAGTGGCCACGGCTAGTCAAAATGTCCACCTGGACCAAGAAGCCCAGCTACAGGCCACACTCCAGGAAGAGAGCAGGAAAGCTCAACTGAGCCCCACCTGGAGGGCAAGGAGCTAGAGATGAATGAAACCTACACAAAGCACCTGTCTACAGTACTGAGGCCCAGTGGATTCCTTCAGGATATTCCACCCTACCTCCTTTCACATGGAGACTGCTGACCAGGGAAAGCCTGCTTCACATACCAGCAGGGCAGGTACCCACATACATCCCCCTGCAGGGGAGAGCCCAGGGCAGTACAAGAACCACATTACAAGATCACAAAACCCCATGTGTGACCATTAAACCAACAGCTCAAGAACAGCACCTAATTTTACAACCACATCACAGGGAGAGAGGTGCTTCTATGCTTAACACAAGCAACTAAAATTCCCTCCAAAAATAAACTATAACCTCCCCCATACAAATGAAGGAAAGAAGCTCCTATTCAGTGATCCTTTCTATTTGGGCTTCACTTTAGTCTTAAGGCATTGGTCCTCTGTGAGCAACAACATGCTCGGTTGGGCGTAAACTTTACCCAAGATACCTGACCTAAGCTGTAACCCTCTCCCAAGGACCTCCTGATTGACAAGTAGGGGCCATCTACGTCATTAGGGCCATTCCACCTAAGTAGCAAAGTGGAACTACAATATGGCACATCTGAGCTAAGGATAACAGATACCACTCTTCATAAGGAAACGAGTGTGTAATATGGCCACCCCTACCATCCACAAAGCCCGCTCTATGGTCTGCACTGGGATGAGCAGCTAAGATGCAGAATGAGCCAGGCAGGAAAGCCACATTCATCTGGCTCAGCGTGTTGGGAGTGCCCTGGCACACAGGATGCCAAAAGTTAAAGTGGTCAGACATTTGTCAGCTTTCTGAGTTAATGGCAGCACCAGCCTTTGTCTCCACAGGTGCAGGGTCCTAATGAAGTGCCTCTAGAGTGGAGGACAGCAGACACTCCAACACAGCTGTCAGGAGGCAGCCCCCAGATTTATTTGTTCCTATACAACATAACCCCAAACACAGGAGCAGCTCTGAACAACTCTAGAAACTCACAGCTAGGGCCAAACAATAGAAATTTTAACTACAAAAGATGAGTTGTACCCAGCAAATATAAAGGGTAATTTAGGCTGTGCTGAGCATTTGTCAGACTATTTACAGCTCCAGAGCCAGGGTCAGATCTCGCCAGCCTCCTTCTCCTCCGATCTCCGCGATGCAGTCTTGCCATTGGAACTCTCCAGCCTCCAGTCAGTGGGCCCTCGCTCACTCCGCCCGTACTCCCAGGATTCCTCTCTCAATGAACGCTCCCTGGAGAACCTGGGAAAGTGGAACCAGAGGCTCAGCAGAGGCTGCCATCTCTTTCTGGCTGGCTGCTGCATAGGAACCAAAAAGGTAGACCCTTAACCCTGAGTGAGGGAAGGCCATGCCCCCACCCCTGAGGTTTTTGGAGACAAGCTTCTCCATGCAGTCTTGGAACTCCTTCTGTAGACCAGATTGGCCTCAAACTCAGAGTCTGACTGCTCTGCCTCCTGAGTGATAGGATTAAAAGTGTAGGCCGCCACCACCACCTGGCTTTAGATGACTTTTTACAAAACAGAAGACAGCCAAGCTTAATTGTATCAGATGTCGGATGACACATATAATCATTAAAAAAAGAAAAAAAAAAAAGGCAACCCTTTGAGCTGGGTATGGTGGCTAATACCTGTAATCCTCACACTCAGGTGGATGAGACAGGAGTCTGAGGCCAGGCTTGGCTATAGAGTGAGATCTGGTCTTCAAAGTAAGTGATAAAAAGTAACATTTGAAAAGGCTTCAGGGGCTGGAGAGAGATAGGTCAGGATATGATGGTCCTGTGAAGGACTGAGCTCATTTCTCAGCTGCCATGTTGGGTGTCTCAAAGTCACCAGTCAGCTACAGAAGTTCCAACATCCTTTTTTGTCCTCCAACAGTAACGTATATGAATACACACACACACACACACACAAACACACAGTAATACATATGACACAATACACTAACATAATAAAAAATAAATCTTTAAAAATAAATAAATAAAAAGAAAATATTTTAATAAGGAAAGTTTTCAGTGTTAACAGAAACAAAGCAAATGGGAATATAACAAAGTTATATGTGTGGAATATGACCCAGTATGTAAAGACAATGAAAAAGGAGCAGAATGGAAAACCACACAACTCAAGCATGGTGGCATACTTTTCATTTTAGCACTCGGGAGGTTAAAGCAAGAGGATCTTGAGTTCAAGCCAACCAAGGTTACAAAGTGAGAGCCTGTCTCAAAACAAAAGTACAAGGTAATAAAGCAGGACCTGTTTAAGAAAAAAAAAAAAAATCTCAGCTGCTCTTTACCAAGGTAAAGTACATAAAGCCCAGGCAAGTATAGTGCTACCCAGAGGGCTATGTGAGAGCTTAATAGGCCTACCCTAGTCCACGCACTGGGTGCCACTCTCTATTCTTCACAGCACCAACACTGGGTGCTAGTCACCCAGAACCTGCCTCCCCACAAGCCCAATCTTGTCCCTACAAGATGTAGTGGCAAAAGGGCACGATAACAGACGTCAGCAGACCTCGGGAACACAAAGAGAAAGGGCTCACTCCTGGCTGCAGCTACTGAGAGAGTCAGAGTAGTTACTTGTATTTTGCACTCCGGTCCCTGGAAGCCCGGCGGTGACCGCGGCTGTGGCTCCGGGAACGGCTGCGATGTCGCCGGTGCCTATCTCTGGACCTGGAGCGGGAAAACTTCCGCCGCTCACGGGAGGTAGACCTAGACCGCCTCCGTCGCCGATCCCGGGAGCGTGACCTAGAAAACCCAGATGATTGTGAGAGCCAAGACAGCACTAGAGTCAAACACTTCAAAGGTCTACCCTCCATTCCTTTCCTTTCCTCTTGACCTTCAACTTTACTGAGACTTCTCTTTCCTACCACAAATGTACAATTTGGAACTGAAAAACTCCCCTAAATTAATCTGATGTTCAAACCTTTCCCCTGAATAGTGTTTCTTGAAAGCACAGCCTTAACCAGGTATGTTGACACAAGCCTTTAATCCCAATACTTGGGAAGCAGAGGCAGGCAGATCTCTAAATTGACAAGAGTTCCAGGATAGCTAGAGCTACACAGAGAAACCAACCAACAAACCAACAACAAAAACAAAACAAAACAAAACAAAAAACCCAACACAGGATTTAGACACTAATTAGTCTGTAGGCTTCAGCAGGCTCTCTGTCTTCTCTCTTTCCCTCATGTGTGTTCTTTCAGCTTTAACCAACTCTCACACTATTCACAATCCATCCTTGTGAAACTATAAACACCAGTTATTAAGAAATGTTTCTGTGAAAAAAGGCACTCAACCTGAGAACCCTGTGATGAATCTGGAAACCTACCTCCTTCGATCTCGAGTTCTTGAGGCAGACCTAAACAAGAACATAAAAAAAGATAAAACACCCAGGAGACAAAGGCAGATGGATCTCTGTGAACCCAAAGCCAAAACAACAGTGAGATCCTGTGACAGAGCATGGTTGCTTTTGACCCTCCCTCATCTTTTCTTTGAATTTTATCCAACACACTTACCTGAGTACCTCTCAGGCATCTCAAGCTGAACATAGGCAAATTCTAAGCCCTTTGCCTGTCCTAGCTAAGGGACAACTCTAACTTAGAAACCAAAAGGCCAGCTGGGCATGCTAATGTCCTTTAAGGCCACTACGAAGAGGCAGATACTTAAATTTACAAAACAAGTTACTCGACAGCCAGGCATACACAGAAAAACCCTGTCTCAAAACAACAAATAGAAGTCGGGTAAGGTAGCACACACCTATAATCCCAGCACTCTAGGAGGAATAGGTAGGTGGATCTCTGTGAGTTCGAGGCCAGCCTGGTCTACAAAGGAAGTCCAAGATAGCCAAGGGTATACAGAGAAATCCTGGCTCAAAATAAATAGGTAGATAGACAGATATATAGATAAATAAATAAAACAAGCTAAAAAGACAAATTACAGACTGTTCAGGATATATATAAAAAACTGCCCTTGGGGGCTGAAGAGATGGCTCAGGAGTTAACAGCACTGGCTGCTCTTCCAGAGGTCCTGAGTTCAATTCCCAGAAACCACATGGTGGCTCATATCCATCTATAATGAGATCTAGTACCCTCTTCTGGTATGCAGGTGTACATGCAGGCAGAACACTGCATACATAATGAATGAATGAATGAATGAATGAATGAATGTTTTTTTTTAAATCTGTCCTTGGGAGGCAGGCGCATCTCTGCAAGTTTGAGGGCAGCCTGTATTACATTAGTGAGACCCTGCCTCAAAATAAGTAAATAAATGTCACTTTTATATGTAGCAAACACTGAATGCTCCAGGTTACAATACAACCAACAGCAGTTTCCTAATACTGGTCCATGCTTACCTCCTGCTCAGGCGCTCCTCTCGCTCTCTCTCTTCTCTTCTCCTCAATCGATCCTGATTTCTCTTTTCCTGCTTTTCAGCCACAGTTTTCTAAATAAATAAAAAATGAGAAAACAAAAGAAAAGCAACAACTTTTAGAAAACAATATTCTATTCATTTAAAAACTAACAGAGAACATATGGAAAAAAATTCATCATTTTATACCTTTGGTGACAAATTACACAGGAGGGGCTAAACTTCTAAGTCACAGGAGATTGATCACAATGCTTCAAACCAAACTTTATAGTTAGCTGTTCATCCTATAGCCTCTACACAAGCTTTGTATTTAAAAAAAAAAAAAAAAGTCAGACCACAAACACCCTGCTGCTCGGAGTGGAGCTCTAGAGAGTAGCCAGAAACAGCTCACTTTTGATTTGGTGCATGCTATGATAACATTAGGATAATTGCACACTCAATTCATCAGTCTTGACCCTAAATGCAACAGAAGGCAGGAGGCCCTGAGAACCTCTACCACCAAATCAGTACCAACTTAAGCTAGCTGGCAATTATCAGGTACCTTTATAATACAGCACTAACACTAACTGAGACCCTGTAATACATCATCTGGGCAGAATGAATGAAGTCCTGAACCAGGCATGGCAGTGCACGCTTTAATCTCAGCACTTGAGAGGCAGGTGGTTCTCTGAGTTCAAAGCTGACTGGTCTACAAAGTGAGTTCCAGGACATCCAGGGCTACACAGAAACCCTGTCTCCAAAAAAAAAAAGAAAGAAAGAAAGAAAGAAATGCAGCCTCAAATGAAGAAATGCCACACCCCTTAATACAAACACCCACCCACTATTTTTCCCTTCTAAAAGCAGAGATAGCAAGGAAAATCTCCATGTCCAGTGAGTAAATCAAATACCCCCTAGATGAGAGAACATAGCGAGACCTAGGTGAGTTGCCTCATCCAGCACCTCAAACTCCACACCTGCAACTAGGGTCATCCTTCACCTGAGCTAGGCACACAGCATAGTCAACTCCAAAGCTCCTTTTCACATCTTCCTAAAGCAAACTGGCTGAGAATAGACCAACAGGTATGAATGGCACACCTTCCTTCTCTGATCCTATCATCCATTTCACCTGAGCAGCAAACCAAATCCTCACACACAAAGACGTAAAGTAAAGTAGTACATTAAAATGCTGTTGGGAAGACAGAAGCAAGTATTTCTGTTGAGGCAAGATCTTAACAGGTGAACCTCAAACTGTCCTGTGGCTGAATGAAAATGACCTTAAAATTCTGATCTTACTGTCTCTACTTCTCCAACACCAAGATCACAGAAAACATCCCGATTTATGAGACACTACAAATGCAGGGTTTCAACTAAGCTACATCCTCAAGCCCTGCAAATTGTCAAGTTGTTTTTAAAATCAAATTTATTGCCAGGTGGTGATGGTGCACACCTTTAATCCTAGCATTCAGGAGGCAGAGGCAGGTGGATCTCTCTGAGTTTGAGGCCAGCCTGGTCTACAGGCTAGTTCCACAACAACCAGACCTACAAAAAAGAAACCTGAACAAAATAAACAACCAAATCAGACTTATTTAGGGTGCCTGCAAGTCAGAAGACAACCCATGTGAGTCAGCTCCCAGTAACTGGACCAGGTTTCTCTAACTTTACTCACGAGGATATCTCACCACACCAAATGTTTTGAGGATAATCTCGGCAGACCCTCCACTCCATGTTTCCCTGTTGCATGAATTAGGGGACTGTTCCTTGGATCAAGTCCTTCCTTTTGCCTAAATAAGCAGATCTGTTCTGGGAGCACGAAAGGCTCAACTGTGGCTGTGAAGTCTTAAGAGCGTTCCACATTTTGCAGCCAGGTGCCAATTATCTGTGTTTTTCCACCTCATGAATATAGAAGTAAAGCTGACTTTATACCTTATCACAGTTGGATTACGTGTAGTGAATAGGGAAAGCACCATCGTTTTGAAGCCTGACAATTCAACTTATCAAAAAGAGCATCACCGTGGGGTTTAGTTCAGTGGCAGAACAAATAGCTTAGCAACCAGAACACTCTGGCTCTATCCAACATCACAATAAATTAAAAAAAAAAAAAAGAAAGAAAAAAAAGAGAAAAGAACAGAAAAGAAAAGAAAAAAAGAAAGAAACAAACAAACCAGAGGGCTGGAGAGATGATGGCTCAGAGGTTAAGAGCACTGACTACTCTTCCAGAGGTCCTGAGTTCAATTCCCAGGAACCACATGGTGGCTCACAATCACCTTTGAGATTTGGTGCCCTCTTCCGGCATGTAGGTGTACACGCAGACAGAATATTGTATACAAAATAAATAAATCTCAAAAAGAGAAAAAGGGGCTAAAAGAGACAGCTTCATAGTTAAGTTGCTGCTCTTTCATAGTACCCAAGTTAGATTCCCACACAGTGAATAAAAACTGGCTCTAACTCTAGTCCCAGGGGATCCACTGCCATCTTCTGGCCTCCGAAGGGTACCTTGAGAATGTGGTACACATAAAAATCACCTCTCATACACATAGAAATAATCATCTTTTTTTTTTTAAACAAAAAATCCAGAAACATGCCAGGCAATATAATGGTGGCTTACACCTTTAATCCCAGTACTCAGGAGGCAGAGGCAAGTAGATCTCTGAGTTTCAGGTCAGCCTGGTCTACAGAATGAGTTTCTCAACAGCCAGGGCCACACATAAAAACTCTGTCTCAAAATCGAACAAACAAACAAACAAAAGAGAAAAATGTTCAAACTTAAAGAATACAGATGATTTAAACTTAAGAAGTTAAAAGTGATCACAAGATTCCAAAGAGTTCTCCAGAAACAGAATATATTAACATACCCTCAACTGATCAAGCTTCTCTCGGATCTGAATGAAGCCCAAGTGTAACTTGCCCCCGAAGTGGTCTGCAAGACGACGGTCATTATCATGGAGACCAAGATAAGCTGAACAAACTTCACAGACACGGAGCTTTTGCTGTTGAAAACTGGATGCGGGCATAGAATTTCTATATTCTTCCTATGGGAAAAAAAAAAAAAAAGAGATAAAGATTGAGGCATTTCAGAACTGTGAGCATGCACAGACCCCCAAAGTGGAAAAATCTGAAATATAGGGAACTTTTTACTACATGTTGAAAACTGGATTGTTCAACTTTAGGTATGTTGGAAACTTCAAGACAAAAACAAAACAAAACAAAATATGTAACATTCAGAGAAAGGCAGTTCTCTGAGTTCCAGGTCATCCAGAGCTACAGAGTAACCCTGTCTCAAAATACAAAACAAAACCACAAAAAACAAACAAAAAACCCCACTAACATTTATGTATGTCTCATCAAAAGCAACAAGAAACCATTCAAAGGGCTGGAGAGATGGCTCAGTGGTTAAGAGCACTGTCTGATCCTCCAGAGGACCCAGGTTCAATTCCCAGCACCCACATGGCAGCTCAAAACTATAATTCCAATTCCCTGGGATCTGACACCCTTACACAGACATACATTCAGGCAAAACACCAATGCTCATGAAATAAAAATAAATTAAAACAAAACAAAATTCAAAACATGAAGAACTGTTCTCAGAGATCCACAGGGAAGATAAGTGTCTCAACCAGAGTAGAAAGAGATTTCAAAAGGTAAACAAAAACTGGGGCTAGAGAGATGGTTTAGCAGTTAAGAGCACTTGTTCTTTCAGAGACCCTGGCAGCCAGCCAACAGAGGCTAACAATCACCCATTAACTGCAGCTATAGGATCTGGCGCTCTCTCTCTGCCTGCTGTGAGCACTAAACACATGTGCATCCATGCAGGCAAGACACCCATATACATAAAATAATGTTTTTAAAGATTTACTTATTTATTTACTATATATACAATGTTCTGTCTGCATGTACACCTGCATGCCAGAAGAGGGCACCAGATCTCATTATAGATGGATGTGAACCACCATGTGGTTCCTGGGAATTGAACTCAAGACCTCTGGAAGAGCAGCCACTGCTCTTTTGAAGCTTAAATAATTTTAGCTTCAAAAATCACTGACACTTTCCTCGAAGAGAAAAGCATCCAACATAAAACACACATCTTCCAGAAACACTAAAATGTTTACAGAAAAATCTCCCATTCACAAAGAAAAATATAGAAACAAAAGGAAAGAAGGCAAACACAGTGCAATCGGTACTTGCGTTCCAGTTAGAATACTGCTGAAAAATCCATACTGAAGAAAATCATTCCTTTGTCCTGTTTTTCTTTTTCACACTGTATAGCTACACTTCAACCTGGAACTCACTGAACTGATTGTCTCAGACCCCAGAGTGCTGAACTTAAAGATGTGTGCCACTGTTGGAGGATATTTGATCCCACTGTGACAGAGTTTAAATAAGAGCCTACCACATCACTGAATAATGAAACCACATGGGAGTGGCCCAAGGTTGTTAGAAAACCAACCTTAGTTTATCCAATTACTATACGAGACATACCAGGAGATGGTAAGTATTCCCAAGGTTATGGAGGAATTAAATGGAATCCTATATACCTATTAGTTTTGAGTAATCAGTCATTTTCTATGGTGTGCATTCATCTATGTGAAGCAGACTTTGAACTCATGGGCAACTCAGAACAGAATTATCAAGACTGGAAAGATTTGGCAACAGCAATATTGAAAGCTGGTCCTCAATTTAAATGGTGAACATGGTGGAAAGAAAAAGCTAGGATCAAGAACAATGAAATCAGGCTGGATGTATTGATATTTCCCAGGATCACTTAATAGGTAAAAGTCAATATGCCAAGTTACAAAGGCAGCTTGAATTTGATTATCAGACCTTACTGCTCTGTTGTTTAGCAGCTTTAAATGCTTGGGATAAAGATGAAGAATAAGCAAAGAGGTCTGAGTCATTTACTAAAATTATATAAGCCCCCAAAGAAGCCTTCACTAATTTTTTGCAAAGACTGACTTCAGCTGTAAATAGAGTAATATCAGATTTCGGAAGCAGAAAAATACTCATCAAATCTTTGACTTTTGAAAAGGCTAATTCAGAAAGCAAATGGTTGATTAGAACTTTAAAGGCAAGATCAGCATCAATAGAGGAATGGATTAGAAATACAGCTGATATTGGGTCTTTTGTTTATGATGCTAATCTGACATAAGTAACTTCTGAAAGTCTTTAAAAATACCCAAATGGCAGATGTTTTCATTGTGGCAAGCAAGGCCATTTAAAAAGGGATTACGGGCAAGGTGTCCTCAGAAACAATGTTTTTCTAAAAAATAATCTAAAAAGAAGGCCTCAGCCTTCTGACTATGCAGAAGGTGGCAAAGGCAGGCAGTGAACTAACAAATGCAGACCAACAAGGGATAGGCAAACCCTTGCATATCACCCTTGGGAGCTTTCCTTAGGCATCATTCCCAGTCAGTGAGGGAGAAACTCAATCACAGAGCAATTCAAAGACTTAATGTCAGTTGTAGGCTAGAATGATGGCTCAGAGGTTAAGCAGCACTGGCTGCTCTTCCAAAGGTCTTGAGTTCAATTCCCAGCAACTGCATGGTAGCTCATAACCATCTATAGTAAGACCTGGTGCCCTCTTCTGGCATGAAGCAGAACACTGTATAAATCACAAAAAAAAGAAATTTTAAAACAAAACAAAAAAACACAAAACATTGCTCTGGATGTAATCAGGGACAGAACAGCTTCAATAGATAAAACAAAATATTTAAGACCACAAAGTAAGTATTTTGGCAAACTGCTATAAATGATCAGAGACCCAAGCTGAAAATACAAATAAATGGCATTAACATTGAAGGTTTAGTAGACACAGGAACAGATGTAACAATTTCACCAAAATCTGGCATCCAGACTGGCCTCTTCGGCAGGTAAATATTCTGCTTCTAGGGATTAGACTTTATCTCAGACAAAACAAAGTATAAGATGGGTCCTGTGAATAAGGACAGAAGGACAAATAAAAAAATTAAAGCTGTATGTGGCTAATATAGCCAGAAATTTATGGGAACATGATCTGTTGAAGCAATGAAAAATGGATTAACTAACATTCCTCCAATCTCAGACACAAACCATAAAGACTGCTTCTGAGGAAAATTAATAAAGGTATTATCAAGAACAAACTCAGAAAACAAAACAAAAAAATTAAAAATTAAAAAGCCAGGGATCGTGGTACACAGGAGGCAGAGGGAGGTGGATCTCTGTGAGTTTGAAGCCAGCCTGGTCTATAATGCAAGCCCAGGATAACCAAGGCTACACAGAGAAACCCTGTCTCAAAAAATAAAAATATTTAATTTAAAAAAGAACAGTCACAGACTGTTCAGGATGTACATAAAAAACAAACTGCTGGGCTGGAGAGATGGCTAGGAGGTTAAGAGCACTGCCTGCTCTTCCAAAGGTCTTGAGTTCAATTCCCAGCAACCACATGGTAGCTCACAGTCATCTATAATGACATCTGGCGCCCTCTTCTGGCCTGCAGGTGTATATTGTAAGCATAATAAATAAATTCTTAAAAAAAAAAAACAAAAAACACAAAAACTGCTGAATTAAATCAGCTTATCTATTTTAAAGATATGTTGACCTCAAAATGGAAACCGGGATATTTTACATTGGGAAAGGGGTTTTGCCCTTGTTTCTACATAAGAAAAGTTGTGGATGCCATCAAAATTGACAAAGATTAGATTTGACTAGGAGAGATCTCCTGACTAGGGAAAGATGGTAGTTCATCAGACAGCTTGTCATTTAGTCCAGACTATTCTTCTTAAACAAAAAGGATATTTCTATTGTTTGGTATTAAAAACACAGTTAAAAGATGTAAAAAAAAAAAGTTAATGTATTTATTTACATATTGTTTTTCTTAAATGTAGGAATGCTGTCTGCACATAACCTACATGCCAGAGGAGGGCATCATACCCCTTTTTAGGTAATAGTGAGAAACCACCTGGTTGCTGGGAATTGAACTCAGGAACTCTGGAAAAGGAGCCAGTGTTCTTAACTTCTCAGCCATCTCACCAGTCCTGATTTAAAATGTTTTAAGTAAATTCAAAGGGTTAATATAGTCAAACTTGTTTTGTAAATCTCTAGAAGTTGGAGAATTTTGGAGCTAAGTTAAGATATTTGAGCAGGGCAGGGGCAGCCCATGCTTTTAATCCCAGCAGAGACAGGCAGATCTCTGTAAGTTACTTGTTATCTAAACTCTAGAATTACAAAGAACAGGGTGGTGGTAGTTCACACCTTTAATCTCACATTTGGGAGGCACGCCAGCTTCTGGTAGCACCCCTATACTACTTCAAAGATGATGAGCATCAAAGAACATCCTTATGGAATTTGCTTCAAAAGTGTCAAGCTGCCATTGGGCAAAAAAAAAAAAAAAAAAAAAAGCCTTTGCTTCAAGTGCAGACCGAATACTGTCTCAAAAAACAAAAAATCTAAACAATGGGGCTGGAAAGATGGCTCAGTTAAGAATGATTGCTACTATTCTGGAGGAGTTGGGTTTTGTCCCCAGCTCTCAAATGGCAGCTCACAACCATGGGTAACTCTAGTTCTAGAGGAACTGGTCCCCTTCTTTGGTCTCTTGGGGAACAAAACTCAGACACACATAGTGCACATACATATAGGCAAAATACACACACACACACACACACACACACACACACACACACACAGGCAAGCCAGGCACAGTGGCCTGTAATCCCAGCACTCTGAGAGGCAAAGGCAGGTGGATCTCTGTCAGTTCAAGGACAACCAGGGCTATATAAAGAAACCAAGTCTAAAAAACAGGCAACAACCAACCTCGGCTTCTTTTTTCTTTGCACGAACTTTCTCCACTTCCATAAGAATCTTCTGGGATTCATCCACATTTCCTTCCGCTCCCAGCTGCTCTGCTTTAGCAAGGAGTTTTCCTATTTCTTCATTCAACTCATGTACTTTTTCTGCCTGAGGACAGGGAATCAGACACCAAATATTAAGTACTTGGAGTTACAATGAAAACCAGTTTATCTCCCTTTCATGCTCAATGTCTGGCCTATTCCTCAGAAAATAAACCAACACCTTAAGATCAAAACTCAGACTTAAAGCTCAGTGGCAACATAGGGATAGAGGCTGTGTGGGTGGAGTGATGAGGATCATTCCCACCGCAAACACAAAAGACCCTGTCTCAAAACAAAACTATGACATCTTCACTGTCATTATCCCAGAAGCCAAGGAATCCCATGTGCTCCAATACATGCAGTTTTTCTTTTGCAATGGAGCACATATCACTTTTGCTAGTCACTTTCTGAATCTTTTTATGTCTTCTGGGTATGGGTAGTAGAATGTCAAGATTTAACATACAAAGTTAGGTTGCAAGCAAAATACAGTTAATAGGACTTCCTAGCACAATAGCATCTTTTTTAAATTAGTAACTACATACAGTATCTGCGCAAAGCCTTCTGTGCAGAGTACGGTGGTACATGCTTTTAATCCCAGCACTCAATAGGCAGGCAGATCTCTCAGGGTTCAAGGTTGGCCTAGTCTACTTAGTAAGACCCTGTCTCAAAAAGAATGAAAGGAAGGGAATACAGGTTCCTGTGACACACAAATATTTGATCACAGATCCTGTCTCCACTGGAAATAGCCAAGGTAGAAAGCACCATCTACCCAGAATCCCCAAGTAGTGTGAAGGTGAGACAAAATGTGAGTTATACCAGTCCCTTAGTATACCTTGGCAGAAACTTCTGCACTGATCTCCTCCTGTGTTTCTGCCAGCCGCTTTTTGGCAAGTTCAGTTCTCCGATCACACTCTGCAATGAAGGACTCTAAGTGATCCATAGCCTAATTCGGGAAAAGCAGAGACATGATCAACACTGCATAGTTTCTTGGAGTTTTTTGTTTATTTTCTTGTCATTGTCACTGGCTTTTATTATAAAAGTATGTTACGAAAGCACTCTACTGAATTACATCTCCAGACCAGTGTCCCTTGACAACATCCCATAGACCAGGCTGGCCCAAAATTTGCTGAGTATTCCAAACTGGACATGAACTCACAATCTCCTTGCCTTAGCCTCCAGAGTGCTAGATGATGGGTGGGCACACCATATTCTGCCAACACTGCATAGTCTTGGCACCTATGTGTGTAAGAGGAACACAAGTCTGTATTTGTTTCTTTGTTTTGTTCTTTTGCTATTATTTTGAGATGGGGACATATATACTATGTAGCACATGTGGGCCTGAAACTCCCTATTAGATCAGGCAGACACATGGCCTTAATCCCACTATGTGGGATGAAGAGGTAGACACATCTCTTTGTGTTTCAGGCCAGCCAAGAACATATGAGACCACATCTAAAAAAATAAAAAAATAAAAATAAAAATAAAAAAATAAAGTAATAAAAATAATTTTTTTGGTGGTGCATGCCTGTAATCCCAGTACTCTGGGAGGCAGAGGAAGGTGGATCTCTGTGCGTTCGAGGCCAGCCTTGTCTACAAAGCGAGTCTAGCACAGCCAAGGCTACACAGAGAAACCCTGTCTCAAAAAAAAAAAAAAAAAAAAAAAAATCAGACCAAAAACAAGGTAACAAAAAAATTTCAAAAAGTTAGTTTTTATCTGTTATTGGTATTAATAGTGACAGCATGAGCTGATATTCTGCTTACAAATTTATTATGATAGTAAACATGATTATAATCATCTTAAATCAAAGATTTTTCTTAAACCAAATGGATATCTGATTTACTAGTTTCCAATTTTGTAGAAGGATCTCCAATTCTCTGTAACATACCAAGACTGAGGAATTGCTTAGTTGGTCATGCAAACAACAGCTTGAATTCAATCCCTCAGAGTACACAAATGATAGTAAGCCTTCATAATCCCAGCATTGGGGAGGTGGAAACAGGTCCATCTCTTGAGCTTCCCAACCAGCCAGCCTGATCTACTTGGCACATCCCAGGCCAATGACAGACCCTGTTTCAAATAAACAGTGAGGAGTTGGTAAGATAGCTCAGTGGGTAAAGGCACTCGACACCAAGCCTGATTAATATGAGTTCAGTCCTTGGAACCCACATGATGGAAAGAGAGAACCTATTTCCACAAATGTGCATACATACATATAAAAGCAAATAAAATATAAAAAATAAATAAAGCAACCACAACAGAAAGTCCCACAAATGGGCAGCACCTATGGAAACACCAAGCCAAGGTGGTCATCTGGCCTCCACAGGCACACAGCAGGAAGGATTATTATGAGTTTAGAGATCAATTTGGAGCCTTAGCTAGGATAAAGAGAGGAATCCTACAAGTAGGGGGGAGGTGTAGTGCTGAGGTGGTTCAGTGAGTAATAAAGACTTTGCTGAGAAAGCATGAAAGTATTAAGACTGAATCTGTTTCCTAGAACTCAGATGAAAAGGATTAAGAGACAACCAGGCAGTGGTAATGCACACCTTTAAATTAATCCCAGCACTCGGGAGGCAGGGCAGGCAGATCTGTGAGTTCCAGGCCAGCCAAGTCTAAACAGCCAGTTTTAGGATAGCCAGGGGTACTCAGAGAAACCCTGTCTCAAAATGGGAGGGAGGGAGGGAGAAAGGGAGGGAGGAAAAGGGAGGGAGAAAGGGAAGGAAAAGAGGACCAGGGAAAAGAAAAATGGGAGAAGGAAAGGGAAGAAGATCTGACCTATGTTTGCTAACATACTTGCAAGCTGTTCTTCTGGAAAGATGAGGAGCTGGTCACCTTACCCAGAATAACAGCTCCCAATACAGGATCCTGAGGTGCCCCAAGCTCACTCAAGTAGTAGTGCTCCCCTACTGTATACTCAGAGTACTGTGCACCTAGAACAGACCAATGACCCACTCACTCAGACGAACCATACAGCACACCTTTACTAACCAAAATGTCTCTATCTTAAGCAGATCCTTGGTCCATTGACAAGGGACTCAAATGCCTAAAACTGTAAAAACTAAATGCTAACACAAAAGAACAAGCAACCCAGATCATGGAGTATCTTCCAACAGACACACTCTTTAAAATGCAAGGTTGTTTTGCAGTCCCCTTCTCTCCTTTCAGAGTGTTTCCAAGTGTAGTCCAAGAGCAAATTTAATTAATAGAAAAAAAAATGAGTGCAAAACTCAGATTTTAATCACAATCCATCGCTTACTAGAATGTCATTAGTGGCCCCAGTGGGGTGATACAATAAAATCAATAAAACCTAAAAGGACCTAGGTATATTCAACCCTGCATGATACCCAGGTAATTATGTTTTGGGAGAAGAGAACAGAGAACAGGGTTATACTATTTACCCTGGCTAATTCTGAACTTTGCTATGACAGCCTGAAACAATAAAACTTCTTGCTTTAGACTCCTGAGTGCTGGGATTGTAGGTAAACACTCTAGGCTTTAATTTCTTTGTAGAGAAGTATCTGCTTGACTTTAGGCAAATGTGTGTAATTGTTACACACATTGTGTAGGGAGAGTCAAACAGCTACAAAGCTTGAAACCAGCCTTGGCTACAAGAAACTTCTTAAAAGATAAGCTAGGGATACTGACCTACTCCTTAAATCCCAGGGTTCATGGGATAGACACAGGCAGATCTCCTGATTTTGAGGCCAGCCTGCTACACAAAGTGACATTCAGGGCAACCAAGGCTACATTGCAAGACCTTCTATCAAATAACCACCAAAAACAAACAAACAAAATAAAACCAACTTATATGCAATATTTGAATCTACTTGTGACATCATTCTAGAAGTTTTCTATGAATACAACATCCAGGCCTTTGATGGGGGAAGGGGGGCAGTACAGTCTCCTAAGAACATGATCATTTTGGGAACTGTTCTGAAATATGGCTAAAAGATCAACCAAGGTATGCTTGTTCCAGTAACATTAACCTGTTGCTTTGGCTGTCTCCAGAGGATAAGGAGACCTGTATTTTTACAGACAAGCTATAAATTCCTCAATTTAGAAATTATGATCACTAATGAGAATTTAAAAAAATGCTTTGTGGGACCAGAGAGATAGCTCAATGGTTAAAACGAAATGCTGCTCTTCAAGAGGACCCAAGTTTGTCAGGTGACTCACAATTGCATGTAATTCCAATTTCAAGGAATCTGAGGTCTCTGGCCTTTACAGAAACCTGAATTCATATATACACCCACATACAGATACACGTACATAATTAAAATATTTTTTAAAGTTCGTTGTGCCTGTACTGTTCATGTTACTGTAAGCAATTTTTCCCCCGAGACACAGTTTCTCTGTGTAGCTATGGCTGTCCTGGAACTCAGAGAACCGCCTAGCTCTGCCTCCTAAAAGCGTATGGCACAACCACCGCCCAGCGTAAGCAATTTTTGGGAGACTGAGCTCGAGGCTCATGGATGAGAACAGGACTCTACCACTGAGCTTACTTCTAATACACAACATATCCAAATTCTATGCTTTACACCTGCATAGTAGTAAACAAAAACTTAAAATTATGTACATATGTTCATGTCCATATGTAGATATGCATATGGGTTCAGGTGTCCATGGAGTCCAGAAAGCGGCACCAGATTCCCATGAAGCTGGAGTTACAGGCAGTTGTGAGAAACCTACTGGAGTAATAGAAAGCAAGCTCCAGTCTTCTGCAACACAGGTTATTTGCTCTAACCTCTGAAACATCTCTCTAGCCCCATTAAACCATTCTTTAAACCATTAAGGACACAAATGTCCTTAATCTCCTTCCCCTTCTCTTGAGGGTGCTAGAGATCAGACGTATTACCTTCCACAATCGAGGCAAATATTCTACCACTAATCATGCCCTACTTCTAGACCACACAGGACAGTTTTTAACAGTTCTAAATACTAACATCTTAAATTTATAAAAAAACGAGTTCCTAAAGTCATCAACTCAAGAAGCCTACTTGCTGGTACATGCCTATAATCCTATCATTGAGGCAATATTTTGACCTTAATGCCAAACTGAGGTACTTAGTAAAATCCATTATAATATTAACTCAAGAGGTTTGGGGAAATGAGTAGGTTAAGTGCTTGCCATGTATGTATGGGAACCTGAGTTCAATTCCCAGCACTTAAAAAGTGTTAAAAAGCCTGGTGTAGGGCTAGAGAAATGGCTCAGTGGTTAAGAGCACTATCTGTTCTTCCAGATGTCCTGAGTTCAATTCCCAGCAACCACATGGTGGCTCACAACCATCTATATTGTGATCTGATGCCCTCTTCTGGCATGCAGGTGTATCACACAGATAGAGTATATATGTAAAATAAATAAATGTTAAAAAAAAAAAAAGAAAAAGAAAAAAAGCCTAGTTTGGTCAGGAGTGGTAATGACACCTCTTTAATCCTAACACACAGGTGAAAGAAACAAATAGGTCTCTGTAAGTTCAAGGCCAGGCCAGGCTGGTCTATTACAGAGAAACTGTCTTGAAAAAAAAAAAAAAAAAAACAAATAAACAACAACAAAAAAATTTAAATACATAAAATATTTAAAAATTACCAGCTGGGGATGTAGCCTAGTAAGTAGAATACTTGCTACCAGGTACAAAGCCCTGGGTTTAAGTCCAAGTGTGACATAAACCCAGCGTGGTGAGAGGCAGAGGGAGAAGGATGAGAATTTAGCCGGAGCTACATGAAATACTATCTTAAAAGAGATTTTATACATAAAGAAAATTAGACCATCCCTGAACATATTACAAATAATTGGTCTTAGTTTACACCGTTATCTCACGCATGTCAATGTTATATCTAGCTTTTCTGTGATATAACTGAAAAAAAGGTATTTAACAAGCACATTTACAATGTGAAATCATAATTAACACAATCATCCAGTATCATTTAATTGAAAATACTTCAGATTCTTCAGCTCTACTCTCTTACAAAATCTCTAAAATAAAATGTCTCAACTAGTCACAACAATATACATTTAGTCGCTAGAATTTATATATCTTTTAAAAATATATTTATTCATGTATTTTATGTATACGAGTGCTCTGTCTTCACGCATACCGGAAGGAGGAAATCGGATCCCCCTTTAGGATGGTTGTGAGCCACCACATGGGTACTAGAAGTCCAACTTAGGACCTCAGGAATAGCAGCCAAGTGCTCTTAAGCACTGAGCCATCTCTCCAGCCCAAATTTATATATCTTACAATGGAAAAATATACCCTGTTTGCTGACATTACCCTGTTTCTTTTATCCATGTATGTGGGAATGCTTGACATGTAGTCTTGTGTGTGTTGTTGGGAGCGCATACACAACATACAGACATCAAAGGACATCTTGAGGGAGCTTTCTGCTTCCACAATGTCCTTTCCAGGGATTAAACTCAAGTTGTCAGGGCTGACAGCAAGCCCCTTTACCTGTTAATCCATCTTCCAATCTTCCAGCCTGCTTGGTGGTTTTCTTGTTTTGTTTTGTTTTCCTGAGACAGGGTTACTCTGTGTAACCCTGGCTGTCCTGAAACTCACTATAAATACCAGGCTGGGCTCAAACTTAAGAGATCCACCTGCCTCTGCCTCCTGAATGCTGGAATTAAAGGAGTGCACCACCATCCATCTCCCCCCTTGAATTCTTACACAGATAAGTGTATAAATGTATACAAAGACTGGGGAGAGGGGCTCTTCATGTTAAGTGCCAAGAACACACCAATGTATCCATTTTTCTACTTTCAGAGCTGTAACATTTATATTTTTAACATTTTTAATATATTTTAATGAAACAGGGGGACTGGAAATGGCTCTGCAGCTGAGAATATGTACTACTCTTACAGAGCTCAAGAGTTCAGTTGCTAACACCCAAGTCAGGAGGCTCATAACCACATGTAACTCCAATTCAAGGCAATTCCATCATCTTCTCTGGCTTCTGCCAATACCTGCACTCAAATGTACATACTCCACAGGCATCCACATTAATAAAAATAAAAACAGAAGGTGGGTGTGATAGTGCACACCAAGTCCAACATGCAGGAGGCAGAGAGATGTGAACCCAGAGAACTCTGGGCTGGAGAGACAGCTCAGAGGTTAAGAGCACTGGCTGTTCTTCCAAAGGTCCTGAGTTCAATTCCCAGCAACCACCTATAATGAGATCTGGTGCCCTCTTCTGGCCTGCAGGCATACAAGCAGGAAGAACACTATATACATAATAAATAAAATCTTAAAAAAACAAAAAAACAAAAACAAAAACAAAAAAAAACTCTGTGACCTCAATATTAGCATGGATCTACATAATGAGTTCCAGACCAAAAAAGCTATATAGTGAAACCCTGGTTAAAGACAAACAAACATTAAGACTAACTATTTTTCAAAGATACAACTTGTTTTTTTTTTTAATTTTTTAGTTGCCTGATCCAGTTTTCAATATTGTTGTATAAACCATGAATGCCACACTAGTTGTAATATAATAATCAGTATGTATGTTTCAGTTTCCGCCTAAGATCTCAACTTCTGCATCATCAACAAGGTCTTTTTAAAAAGGCACTGGGCCTAGCATATTAGCTCATACCTGTAATCCTAGCATTCAGGAGGCTGGAAACACTGAGTTCTAATCAGCCTGAACTGCCAGTGTGTGACTATCTCAAAAAACAATTGGGGGGCTGGAGAAAGATCAGTAGTTAAGAGCACCTATTGCTCCAAGGTTCGATTCCCTACACCCACCACTGGCTCACAACTGTCTGTTAATTCCAGTTCCAAAGAATTCAATGCCCTCTTCTAGCCTCCAAAATCTCCATGTACACACATGGTGCACAATAAACATCCATATACATAAAGTCAAAATAAATAAACCTAATAAATAAAAATTAAAAGGCTAGAGACAGCTCAATGGTTAAGAACACTGGATTCTGCCAAAGGACTCGGGCTCTTTCTCTAGCACCTAGAAGGTGACTCACAACCATCTCTAATTTCAGTCCCAAAGAACCCAAAGCCCATTCTTGGCCTCCAAAAGTACCAGACAAATGGTACAGATATACAGGGAGACAAAATGCCCATTTATAGATAGATAGATAGATAGATAGATAGATAGATAGATAGATAGATAGATAGATAGATAGATAGATAGATAGATGGATGGATGGATGGATGGATGGATGGATGGATGGATGGATGGGTGGATGGGTGGATGGATGGATGGATGGATCAATAAATAAGTAAAGGATGTAAGTATGTGACATTTTGGAATTTAGTACACCCAAAGAGATACATTCCTTGAAACAAGATGTCAATCAATCCTATCACTTTTGAAACCTGGTATCTTAAAGTAATGGCATCTTTACTAAAAATTTCCAGGGGCTGGGAATGTAATTTAATTGGTAGAATGCTTGCCTACCACACGTGAGACTCTGAGCTCAATTGCCAATACTACATAAATCTATCACGATGACACATGGCTGTAATCTCAGGACTTAGAGAGAGAAGGACTAGGAGCTGCATCTTGACTAAACAGCAAGTGTTACCAGAATGGGCTACATGAAACACATTAAAAAAAAAAAAAAAAAAAAAAAAAAAGGCAGGGGCTGGCGAGATAGCTCAGTAGTTAAGAGTACTATCTGCTCTTTCAAAGGTCCTGAGTTCAATTCCCACAACCACATCTAGAGTGAGATCTGGGGACATCTTCTGGTGTGTATGTATACACGCAATAAATAAATAATTTTTTTTTTTTTTTTTTTTTAGAAAAAAGCAAACAATGAAAGGAAATTCAAGACAGTAATAGGTTGAGAGACACATGAATATAAGATGATAATCTTTTGGGAACTGTTTATAACTACAATTTCAAGGGATCAATCAGACTCCCTCATACCAATGCACATAAAATAAAATTAAATTATTATGAAAAAAAAAAAGATATCTGTTGTGTTCTGGAATGTAAAAGTGGTTGGTTAACATGTGAATATTTATTTTGCTTTGTAACTCAAACACATTACACTACTCCCAACAGCAGATTGATAACTTTGCAGCATGGATAAATCAACAACAAAGCCAGGCATGGTGGAGCACGCCTTTGATCCCAGCACTCAGAAAGGCAGAGGCAGGTGATCTCTAAGTTCCAGGCCAGTTTATCTACAAAGTGAGTCCAGGACAGCTAAGAAACAGTGAAACCCTGAGTCGAAAAACAAACAAACAAAAAAAGTACAAAAATATCTTACATCTAATTCAAAAAACAGGTCTCTTTCTTTACTTGCAATTTCATAATCTGCTCGGAGGGCCAAGTCGTGGATTTTGGTACACTCTCCTAAATCCATGCGCTGTAGGAAAAAAAAAATCATAAATTAACATCTACCCATTCAAGAAAGCATGTAATTAATATGATTTAGCATTTCAACTTTCACTAAAATAAGCAATACAGTGGAAACAGGAAAGCAAGTTCAAGGTCAACCTGGAATATATAAGACCCTCTCTCCAACAAAAGAAATGAAGGCAGGCATACTTGCACTTATCTGTAATTACAGCACTTGGTAAGGAATTCAAGTCATCTTCAGTTACACAGACCACGGGCAACAAGAAACCATATTTAAACAAAAAAGAAAGAAGATATAACCTAGAAATGTATTTATCTTTTCTTATTTCTTAGATTTATTTAGCAGGGCAGTGGTAAACCACGCCTTTAATCCCAAATAGACTGATCTCTGAGTCTACAAAGTAAGCTCCAGAACACATAGGGCTACACAGAGAAACCTTGTGTCAGGGGAAGAAAATTTTATTTCATTTTATGTTTGAGTGTTTTGCCTGGTGCCTTCAAATATCAGAAAATAAATCACATATATCTTCTGGTACTGGAATTACAGGTGAACATGTGGGTACTGGGAACTGAACTAAGATATTCTGTAAAAGCAGCAAATGTTCTTAACTACTGAGTCATCTCTCTAGCCCCTGTAATTGTCTTTTACTACATTATATGACACTTGGAACTAATACACTTAGCAGTAAAAGAGTTTGTATCATTTTTGCAACCCTGAAAAAAACAGGATAAAAAAAAAAAAAAACCCATACACATACACAAAAAAAAACAGTGGGGAAGATGGTGCATTTAATCACAGCACTTAGAAAATCTTAGTGGAGTTCCAGGCGAGCCTGGTCTATACAGGGCACTCCAGAGATCCTGTCAACTTTAATTTCAGCGCTTGGGAGGCAGAGGCAGATGGATCTCTGTGAGGAAGCTGCCTGGTCTACATAGGAACACCCTGTCTCCAAAAGCAGAAGGAAAGTACACAAAGAAACCAGGTTTTGGCGCCCAGTCTACAAATGGGAGTTCCAAGATAGTCAGGGCTACCAAGAGAAACCCTGTCTTGAAAAAACAAACAAAATAGACTGTCTCAAGAGACTAGGTGACCAGTGATGACAGGATAACACCTGTCATCCTCCTCTGGCCTCTGCACTAGTGCATTAACCACACACATACATGAATACCAGCATACAAAAGTTTTTAAGCCATAATTCACCATGAATTATTTTTTTCCGCACACATAACTTTCTAACAATCAATGGTTGGTTTTACATCCTCATAGCTATGAAGCTCTTTGTAAAACACTTTTTCACTCTAATGTGGCAAAGATTCTCTTCACTGTTGTCTTAAATTTAACTGAATTTCAAATGAAAGCACATGCCACAAAACTAGCACTTATCTGTATTATTCAGAGACTACAGTTATTGACTAATATAGATTTCTTAAAAGAGATACAAAAGTATGCGATTAATGTGATCTCCAATTGATTTGTTTTATTTTAGGGGCTGATAAGATGACCCAACAGAAAAAGCCTCCTGACAATCAGTACAATCCCCAGATCCAGGAGGATGAAAAACAATCATTTCACCAAGCTGTCCTCTGATCAATACCTTGGCACCCACATCAACAGATACACAAAACACAGCCTCTCTCTAAATAAATAGCATTTGCTGCTCTTTCAGAGGACCTGGATTCAGTGCCCGGCACCCAAGACAGGAAGATTCAAAACCTCCTATAATTCCAATTCCAGCTGATCCAATGCATTCTTCTGAGCTCTATGGGCACCTGCATGTACACAGGCCTACACAAAAATAAAATTACTTACGTGTGTATACAAATATATGTATACATACATACATATCACACTAGAATAAAGTCTAACATATATTCAATTTGAAATTAAACAAGGTTAAACAAATTTTCAAAAAAAAAAAAAACAAAACCTGACTGCTTTATCGTTTTTATACTAGTGAGATGTTTCATAACCCAAAAACTCTACTAATAATCTGTAATTTGAAGAGCAACAGATTTTACATGCTAAAGGAAAATGAAATTCTACCTGAAAAAATTTATTCTCCCTATAGCTCACACTCCCAAGTGTTCCATGAGACCCTCAAAAATACATCTAGGAGTGAAGGGATGAATATGACCTAAATACATTTATTTTGCCTGCATGTCTGTTTGTGCACCACGTGTTATACACCTGGTGCCTAAACACATCCCCTGGGGCTGGAGTTCAGACAGCTGTGAGATGCTGCGTGGGGACTAGAATTGAACCTGGGTCCTTTGGAAGAACACCAATGCCTTTTTTTTTTTTTTAGACTCATTATTTATACAGTATTCCGCCTGCATATGTGCCTGCTGGCCAGAAGAGGGCACCAGATCCCATTATAGATGCTTATAAACCACCACACTGTTGCTGGGAATTGAACTCAGGACCTTTGGAAGAAGAGCCAATATTCTTAATCTGAGCCACCTCTCCAGGTCTAGACACTAATGTTCTCACCCATGCACTTAGCCTTCTCTCCAGGGCTGTAACTTTTTATACAAAATATAAAGTAGGTGTTTCGGCAATTCTAATCCTAAGAGTCACATTTTTAAAGATTCTATTATTTAATTTTAAAGGTTTACTTTTATTGTTATTTTTTTAATTTTATGTGCATTGTGCCTGCATGTGTATCTATGTGAAGGTGCTGGAACTCCTCAAGCTGGAGTTACAGATAATGGTGAGCTGGCATGTGGGTGCTGGGAATGGACCTGGGTCCCCTGTAAGAGCAGCCAGTGCTCTTAACCACTGAACCATCTCTCCAACCCCCTATTTTTATTATTTTAAAACTGTGTACATGTATGTACCTTTGTATGGGTATGTGCACATGAATGCAGTTGCCTAGAGTTCAGAAGTGTCTGCCCTGGAACTGGAATTACAGGAAGCCACCACGTGGGCGCTAAGAAGCAAACCCTGGTCCTCTGCAAGAGCAGCAAGTGTTCTAACCACTAAACTACCTCTCTAGGTCACATCATTTAATTTTTAAAAATAATATCTTCCTCTTGGGTTGAACAAAAAAGTTTTTACATCTACTGTCCCAACCCTTCTAAGTAATCCAAAAGCTGGGGTGGCACTTACCGTCCCAGCAAGGATGTCATGGGGGCAGCAGTCCAGAAGGTGACTCTTGCAGACACGGTCATCTGTAAACTTGACCCTCTGTCTGGTTTCATCTCCTGAAATTCATTTGTGGTTTTAAATAAAGTATTATCTCATTACCTACAGAACACTATCTGGCATAATACACCTGGATGATTTGCAGACTAGCATTTCTGAATTCTTCCCATCATATACACTAAGAAACTGATCTAAAGATATTTACAAGTGGAATGAAATATAGATTTTTTATGCTAAATACTTTATGAAGAAGCACACTTAATCACATCTAACTCCATCATTAAGTCAAGGAGTCAGAAGAGTGAGCATCAAAAGGCATCAACCCGTACATACACGTGGGCATTGACAAACCAAGACCCATGTACTCAGAGTGCCATGAATCCACCACATCTGATTTACAGCTGGTAATCTCCAACAAGCAAAACTATTAATTAACCTAACCTTTTTGTTATAGTCAAATTAATAGGCAGTGTTTTACCAAACACTACAAGATGAGGACCGCTTTCAGGCGCTATCACTGACTGTTAAATATCTCTAGACCTTTTCTTCTTATTCCCCTTTTCATCCCCACCCTTAAAAAGGAAAGTTGGCACCTGGGAGTCACTTTTAACAAGACAATACCAAAGAAAGCAAAAAAGAAATCAGGTTAGTCAATACACACTGTGAACTCCAACACATACTGTACCCATCTGCATTCTTCAAGAACTCAGCTGCAGAATTTTATGCCCGCTGTTGAAAAGTTTTAAAGGAAAAGTTTTCTTGCCCACACCTGCAGTAAGGAAGTCAGGGGGAATGATACATAAAAGTAAAGGCAAAGTGGTATGTGACAAATTTTAAGGCTAATCTGTGTATAGGACACAGTGCTGTGTAATAGTCAAGGAGGAATATATTTCAGGATTTGCAAGCATCCAGGATTAATGTAGTGTCTTTTTACTGAAAATGTTTTCTTTCTAAACTACACTTTTAAAGTTACTTGTGGAAAAAAAGCAAACACTTTTTTGTTATAACAGCTTAGAAATTGGTTGTGACTCACGGCTCGATGAACATGAGGCTTTTCTGCAACTCCCTTGCAGATTGATGTAGGCAGGCAAAGATACACTGAACCTTTATAAATAAAATAGAGGGGCCACAATTGTTCAGTTTGTATGAAATAAAAATATGGGAAGCAATTCAAAAGCAACTCAACATACAAAGAAAGCTAAAAGCACTTATTGACCTATGAAATGGTGCAAAGACTGCACAGCCCTACGAAATGTGCCAGTGTGAAATTACAACTCCGTTACTTTAGTAAAAGTGAAAACACAAACCACAGCAGGGATCTGGCTTTGCTAGGCTGCAACTGCTTTCTCCTGAGACACCACCATGATCTCGCACGCCTCCCTACAGAACCGCCTACCTAACGAATGCCAATGACTAAACCGAGGCTAGTCTGTGAGGCTGGGGAATGAAGGGTGGGAAGACTAGGAAAGTACACGGAGGAACCCACGTTAGAAATGCTCATTGACGGCTCCCCTTGTAACCGTCCAGAGCAAGAACGCCCGGGGTTTTCGAAACCCGTCCAGCTCCTTCGGGGGTCGCCTTTCCTCCAACGTGTATCAGAGGAATTGTGCCACCTGGCAGCCAGCACCCCGGAGCTCGCGCTGAATCCAGCCCTTCGCCGACGCTCCAGTACGCCCGGCGGCGCCGAGCCGCGGTGCCGACCAAGAGAAATTCGCATGACGGAAAACGGGAAGGGGACAAACCCCACTGTCGGATCGGACTCTCAGGGAGGAGGCCGACCGGACGAATATGACACGGCGGCCGCTGAAGAATCGCAGGCCAAGCAGATCAGACAAAGGCTCAGCGCCTAGGGTCGGCGAGCAGGGGAGGGAAATGGCGCCCCGCGCAGGCGCACACTGTTACGGCCCTCGCCTCAGGCTTCCAGGCGGCCTCGCCTTACTCCCGCCCGCGCCCAGCGCCGGGATGGCTGCTCAAACTCACCGTCCCGAGCCGTGCCCATGAGCTGGTCCAGCAGGGCCCGCATCTGTGCCTGGGCGGACATGGTGGCCAGTGGGGACGGCCGGGAATGTCCTCACAACTCGGCGGCAGCAGCAGCAAACAGCGACGGCGAAAGACAGTCCTGTCGGCCTGAAGCCCGCTCGGCACTTTCCCGCCGCGGGGAATGCTGGGAGGAAGTTCGTAGACGTTGGTGCAGGGCCTGCCGGGTAATGTAGTTTGGGACAACAGGAGTCACTCCAACCCTAATTTCACCATGGTCGCTGAAACCATCAAATTCTATGTTCTAATGAGACTTTAGTCAGATCAAATTAAATACAGTTTATATATTATATAAACATTCCTATGTTATATCTTGTTTCTTTTTTGTTTATGTAATATGATCTCACATTGCCCATGCCGACTTGAACTTACTATGTAGCAAAAGATTCCTGACCTCCCTACATTTCCTTCCGTACCAAATGTTGCAATTACAGAAATGTACAAATGTGCCTGCCTCCATTTCTTTTATTGGAGACAGGGTCTTACATAGTCCCGATTGGCCTTGAACTTGCTATCCTGTTGCTACTCAGCCTCCAAACTGTTGAGATTATCAGCATATGCCATTATACTTGTTCTTTTTCTCTTTCTTTCTTTCTTTTTCTTTCTTTCTTTCTTTCTTTCTTTCTTTCTTTCTTTCTTTCTTTCTTTCTTTTCTCTTTCTTTCTTTCTCTTTCTTTCTTTCTTTCTCTCCCTTCCTTCCTTTCTTTCTTTCTTTTTTTTCCCCCAGACAGAGTTTCTCCGTGTAGCCTTGGCTGTCCTGGACTCACTTTGTAGACCAGGCTGGCCTTGATCCACTTGCCTCTGCCTTCCAAGTACTGGAATTACAGGCATGAGCCACCACGCCTGGCTCTTGTTCCATTTCTTAATTTACTATCTATACAACTATATTGCTTATTTCAGTGAAAGTTCAAAGAGACCTGTTGTTGTTTTTTTTTTTTATTAGATGTAAACTTTTTTTGGATGTTTATCCGTGCTGCAAAGAATCAATCACTATTGTGAGTAATGTAGCGTTTGTAAGTCACAAAACAAAATAATATGCGTACACACACATATATGAAACTGAGTAAGGTGATTCAAGTCTGTAATCTGGGGAAATAGGGGCTGAGGGATTTCTTTTGGGATAGAGATGAAAAGACTATCCTATGATGGTAGATATTTGCACTCTTTGTTTTATTTTGTTTTGAGACAGAGTTTTCTGTGTAGCCTTGGCTCTCCTGAACTAGCGCTGTAGACCAGGCTGGCCTCAAACTCAAGTGCTCCACTTGCCTCTGCCTCCCTGAGTGCTGGGAGTCACGCACCACAGAGCCCAACTGATGGTAGCATTTGTGACAGTGCTGTTTACTCTATTTAAACTGTAAATTTTTCCTGCATGAGACTAGGCTTTTTTAAGGATCTAGTCCATATGTTTACGACAGCATTCCCCTCTCTTTCTTTAAATGCTTATGTGGTCTCTTTGTTGGTTGGAGTTTCCACTTCACATAGACTCAATAATAGTGCAATATTTGTATTATAATATAACACCTATGCTAAAGATTCTACAAGACTGATTAACTGATTATGATTGTATGAAGGGGAAAAAAGGGTGTGGCTCAGAGAGCCTGCCTAGTGTGCCCTGGGTTTCCATCCCCAGCATAGCATAAAACCATAGAAGTATTCACATGTTATCACAGCAAATTGGAACTAGGGGCAGGAAGATCAAAGGTTCAAGTTCATCCTGAACTATATAGTGAGTTCAAGGCCAGCCTGGACTATATGAGTCGCTGTCTAAAAAGAAAGAAAATGAAGGAAGGAAGAGGGGGGGGAAGCTTCCTGCATATGGAGTGTTAAAATGTTGCCAAATGTCTAGAGCCAAACTATCATGAACTTTCTTTAGTCCTCTTAGTACCATTCATTGCCTACTTCTAAATTTGACCTATAGGTGGGTCTCTGGGAGTAAGAGGCCAGTCCGGCTCACAAAGGGAGTTACAGACTAGCCAGGGCCACAGACCAACCAGGGCTACAAAGTGAACCCTGTGTATGGCTTTTTTGTTATTATAATAACTTCATGAGCCAGGCAGTGGTGGCATATGCCTTTAATCCCAGCACTCAGCAGGCAGAGGCAGGCAGATCTCTGTGATTGCAAGGCCAGCCTGGTTCACAGAGTGAGTTCCAGGACAGCTGGGGTTATGTAGAGAGACCCTGTCTCAAAAGGAAAAAAATCAATAAAAATTAAAACTTCCTGAAACCTTTCCTAGATTATGACATGGTGTCCAGGGATGTAGTGGTCTGAAAGAAAATGGTCCCCATAGGCTCATAGGGAATGGCACTATTAGGAGGTGTGGCCTTGGTGGAGGTTCCTCCAACAAGGAGGTGGGCTTTGAGGTCTCAGGTGCTCAAGCCAGGCCAGTGTCTCACTCGCTCTTCCTGCTGCCTGCAGAGCCAGATGCAGAAGTCTCAGGGCACTGCCTGTCTACATGCCACCATGGTTCCCACCATGATAATAGCCAACATCTGAACTGTAACCCAGCCCCAATTAACTGTTTTCCTTTATAAGAGCTGGAGTGGTCATCATGTCTCTTCACAGCAATAAAACCCTAAGTAAGACAGGGGACAACCTGATTCTGTCTTCCTATGCCATGATCACTTACACATTTGACTCAAGAATAAACAATCTTTTATCTCCTTTCAGGCAAGAGCTATGTATTTGCCCTGGTAAGTTGGTTGGTCAGTTTATTTATTTATTTATTTATTTGGTTTTTCAAGACAGGGTTTCTCTGTGTAGCTTTAGCTGCCCTGGACTTGCTTTGTAGCCCAGGCTGGCCTCGTACTCACAGATATCTGCCTGCCTCTGCCTCCCAGAGTGCTGGGATTACAGGCCTGCGCCACCACGCCCAGCTATTGGTCAGTTTAAAAAGCAAAGGGTTGAAGAGAAAGTTTTGTGGTCAAAAGGACATACTGCTCTTCTAGAGGACCAGGGTGTGGTTCCCAATACCCATGTCCAGCAGCTCACCCTAAAATCTGACACTCTCATCTGGCCTCAGAGACACCTGCAGTATGTATACCCTCCCTTGGAATACACAAAATTTTTTCTTTTTTTTTTTTTCATTATTTATTTATTTTTAGTTTTTAGTTTTGTTTTCGAAACAGGGTTTCTTTGTGCAGCCTTGGCTATCTAGGACTTGCTTTGTAGACCAGGCTGTCCTAGAACTCACGGAGATTGTTCTGCCCAGTTCACGAACACCAAAAGGCCAGGAATAACTAGACTCCGCTGTAAATACATGAGGTTCTTTTTATTGTAAATTACAAGCTGCAGCTTGGGCCCACACAGCCCCACCGCCAAAGCGGTGGGAGGCCCAGGTGAGTTGGGTGATTTAAAGATTCTGGTCCATCCCAGCATGCCCAAGGCAGGGGTGATTCCTGCCTGGCAAGCATCTATTGGTCAAAATGCTACATTTTGAATCGATTGGCTATAGGAAGGTTCCCAGGCCATTAATGATCTGGTGTCCCTCCCTGGGGGGGGGGGGGGGAATGGGATGGTCCAGTTTCCTAGCAACTGTATCTCTAGTGGGTGGGGAAAGAATGCAGCAAGGCGGTCCTTCCCCTCAGGGCATTACTGGCCTTCTCAACCCACCTACTTCAGGTCTTAATAATAGCTGCTAATTTATCTTTTGGTCTCTCAAGATCCACCTGCCTTTGTTGAGATTACAGGCTTCAGCCACAGTGCCTGGCCCATTTTTTTTTTTTTTAACAAAAATCAAGTCCAAAAACTAAACAAGTTCTTTTGACAAATTTAAGCAACAAGATTTTAGGAACAACGGTACTTGGGTGCACACTGCAACAAGCTCTTTAGCAGCTGTTTTTGCTAAAATGTATTGAGTCCTCACTTGGGCCCACAGGGTAAATCAAAGTAGGATAAGAACCTATTACTTCTGCCTTCATTTTGTGTCTGTCTCTGACGACAAATATTGATCATCATCCTAAACCTTTCTACTGGAACAAATCCCAGGAGAAGTATAATTTGGCTGGACAGCTCGTCCCCGTTGAAGAAAGTATCCATAGTGATAAGGCTGCACCATAAGCAATAAACAGATTGGCAGTTTAAAGTGTATTGAGGTTTGGAGATATAGCTCAGTGAGAAGAGTGCTTGCCTAATACTGAGCCATGGATGTAGAGTCTAGTACCCTGCCCTCCCCAAATCACTAAGTGTGGTGTCACAGGCCTGTAATCTCAGCAGATGAAAGATGAAGGCAGGAAGCACAGGAGCTCAAGGCTAGCCATATCTATCTATAGATAGTGTAAGTCTAACCCAGCCTTAAAAAACAGACAAATAAGAAATCTAGGGCTGTACCTGAATTGGTGGAGTGCTTACCTGCCTACCATGCACAAACCCCTGTGTTAGAGTAACAGTTCTGCACAGAGCTAGTGTAATGGCACATGTCTGTAATCCCAGGACTCAGGAGGAATAGGTCAGAAAGTAAGGATTTCAAGTTCAAGGCCATCCTGAGCTATATCAGACCCTGTTTCAAAAAAAAAAAAATAGAGGTCTGGTGAGATTACTCAGTGGGAAAAAGTCCTTGCCAAGCAATTGTGCAAGCCTGTAACCTAAGTTCGATCCAAGGAACCCAAATAAAGGTGAAAGAAGAAAAGAGAACCAACCCTACATGTGCTAAGCATGTGCCTAGCCGGAAGTGCTGGGAACGTTATGCAGGGTAGAAAGAAGAAACCTTAGCGAGATTCTCCTGCAGGCCAGGCGGCCAACGTCTCCCTTCATGGTTTCCTGTGGTCAGTATTGTAACATGAGGCCTAAGCTTTCACAGCATTATCATGCCAAAATGCTAGGCCCTTGCACAAGTCGGCCTTCTGCTGGAAAGGAGCAACAGACCCAGCGACCGCGTTGCTAAGCAACTGACTCGGGGAGCAGGACTGGCTCTCTCTGGGATACCACTTCCGCCGACAGGAAGTGACGCACAGCTCAGGCGGTGCGGTGGACTAAGGAGGGATCCCAGCCTCTCTGGGGCGGGGATTGGGGCGGGGCGTGCTGCAGGCAAGACTAGGGCGGGTCCTGTGGGGGCGTGGCACGCTGCCCTGCAGGCCGGGGCGGGCCGGGGCGAGCCGGGGAGGGGCGCTGCTGTCCCGCTGAGTGTGAGCTCCTCCGCCACTCTTCTCCCGCGCACCTTTGGGAATGTGGATCCCGGACTCCAGAGACCGCAGTTGAGCCAGCCTCGGCAGTCCTAGAACGCTTGCTGAGGAGTAGGATCTTGCGGACGTATCCGAGACCAGATCAGGAGCCGACTAGGTAACTCTCATGCGTGACCTCGCCCGGGCCAAAGCCGGTTGCTTTCGATCGCCTGGAAGGGGTCCGGCCTCCCGGAATGCGACGCACAGCTAGCTTCGGCCCTGCCTGAGCTCGCAGAGTAGCAGGGTCGTTCATAGGGCCTGGCACCCTCAGTCGCACCGAACTGGGCAAAACAAATCTGTGCTCGGCCGTGTCTGTTTCCTGGAGGGCGCAGTGCTGACCCAGAGCGGCAAGGGTTGACCTACCGGAGGGACCCTGGGCTCAGGTGGACAACTAATCTCATGCAGTTCCTTAAATCCTGTCGCGCTCACCAGAGGCTCTTCAAGTTCAGGGCCAAGGCTGTGAAGTGCCTAAGGTCAAGAGTGGTGATGGGATGCCTTAGTCCTGTACTCTCAGAGCTCTAATCTCTGCTGTTCTTTCAATGCGGCAACGCCTCCTCCTGCTGCCTTGAAATGGAAACTATCTTCCTGCCTTAGCCTCTCAAGTGCTGGATTTGCAGGTGGTCACCAATCCGCTGAGCTATCTGTTGTTTCTTCTGTGCTGGCATTTTTCTTACTCCTCCTTCTTTGCCTCCTCCTCCTGTTGCTTAACTGGTGCTTTGTAACAAATAAACACGAAGTTTAATGGGTCAAAACACTTTTTATGGTAGGTGTAGTAGTGCGTACCTGTAATCCCAGAAGTTGTGGCTGAGACCTAAGAACTCTGAGTTTGAGAGCACGAAATGAAACCACCTTTATGATTGAACACTTTCTGTGGGTTGGGAATGTAGGCTACCTAGTTGATGGCATGGTGTCTCTTACCTGGTGGAAGGCTATAGGTCCAAGATAGCAGACTCAGAAGACCAGGGGCAGGAATCCTTAGTTGTCTCTTGAATCTTTCTCGCTCTCTGTTGGTAGCTGTCTTCCCTACCAAGGAGTTCCGTGTTAGGGAAGGGGGGGAGATAGAAACCACTATACTTGTTGGGACCCAGTTTTGGAAGTCTGACACCCTCTCCACATTATTTTTTGTATTAGTGCAAAGGCAGTAGGCATGGCAGAGTATGTGTGTGCCGGCAAGTGTGAGGGCACCTGTACATATGCCAGAGAGGACAAGTTGTAGTTTAGGGCCTCTCCCTCCACCATTTGGGTTCCAGGGAACCCTCTTGTCACCAGTTCTCCAGTGCTGGAGTTGTTTGTGTCACCATTCCAGAGCCCTACTAACTGAGCTATCACCCCAGCTCCCCAACTCTTTTTTTTTGGGAATGGAGTTTTTTTTTTTTGAGACAAGTTTTGCTTTGTATCCCTGGCTGGCCTGGAACTCATGATGTAGATCAGGCTAGCCTCAAACTTGTGGTGAGCCTCTTTGCTCTTTTAAGTATTGGGGTTTCAGAAACGTGCTACCAAGTCCAGCTTATGAATTTTTTTTTTTTTAGAATTATTTTATGTGTATGACTGCTTTGCCTGTATGTATGTATGTATGTATGTGCACTATGGGCATGCTTGGTGCCTGTTGAGGTTAGAAGAGGGTGTTGGATCCCTAGAAGTGGCCTTACAGGTGGCTGTGAACCACCATGTGGATGCTGGGAATTGAACCTGGGTCCTCTGGAAGAGCAGCAAGTACTCTTGACCTCTGAATCAACTCTCTAGCCCCTTGTGATTATGTTTTAAAAGCTTGCTCCTGACCACACATGTGGGGAAAAAAGGAGTGTCAACTTCCTCTAATTGCAGCTGAAGTTCTGCACCCAGTATTCACATGAGCTTTAATTTCTGTGAGAAGGACTCGTCAGCAGGTCTTGGCATGGAGCTTTTCCCAGCCCCAGGATGGTGTTGAAGCACTTGGAAAGGCAAACTTCCCTGTTGAAAATGGAAGAGGTCTTACAGACAAAAGCATGGCCATAGTAGTGTAAAGAAGGCACAGGTGTTGTTACATCTAATTGACATCTTGTGTTTACAATTGACATTTAAAGTCTTCAGATCCTGGAGATATTTTTTTAATGAATTTGCATGTTGGTAAATAGTTCATGTGTGTTAATGAACACATATGTTAGAAAAGTTAGTAAATAACTCTCCCAAGAGAGGCTGATGATCATATTAAGGACACTTATTCAGACATGTGCGTGCTCAAATCTATGTGTTTTTTTTTGCCAGCGACCACTCTGCTTTGTCTTGGGTGGTATGGAGGGAAGCAATGATAAGTGTGTGCTCTTGAATTTCTGGAAATCTCTGGGGAGAGGACCCAGAGCAGTGTGAGAGGCATCCTAAGCCACATGAGGGAAAGCATCATAGAAAATGTCCCAGTAGATTCTGGGCCCATTTGGGTTTTGCACATAACATGAGGAGCAAGTAGAGGAAGGGACAAGTGCAGAGCAGCGGTATGATGGGGACAAATAGTGGATATGACACCTGGAGAGGATGACACTGGACAGACAGACAGGAACCAGGGATGGAAAGACCTGGAGGTAAGCAAGGTGTTGACTTTGTTCTGAAGTGGCGATGAGTCATCCTAGAATTGTAAGAGGAGTAACATGACCAGGAGATATTTTTGGAACATTTGAGAAAGCTCCAGAAATCACAGGGAGAGCTTTTAAAATATAACCTAAGTGGTCACCATGAGAAGGAGGGCTTAGGGCTGTTGAGATGGCTCAGCAGGTGAAGGTACCATCCCCCAAGCCTGATGATCTGACTTTGGTCCCTAGGTCCCACAGGGTGTAAGGAGAGAACCATCTCCTGCAAATTCTCCTCTGTCTTCTGCACATGCTCTGCTATAACACCCATGTGCCCAATGTACAAGTACACACTCAATAAGTAAAATGGAGTAAAAAATTTAAAGAGGAGGGGCTAGGTTGACAAGACAGAAGAGTTAGAATCCACAGGGCTTCTTACTCACTCACGATTGATCTTGAAATCCACACACTTGATGTGACATGTTGCAGGTCTCATTTGTAAACTCCTTCATGGAACTTAGGTTGCCATGCTATAACACGCGCAGTAAACTCCTTCATGGAACTTAGGTTGCCATGCTATAACACGCGCACGCTCACTAGCAAAATACTGACTCCTAGCTAAATAACCAGAAAGTAGATGCAAACAGTTAAGGTGACTTTTCTCTTTTTTTTTTTTTTAACTTTTTTTAAAATTATACTTTATTCACTTTGTATCCCCCCATGAGCCCCTCCCTCCTCCCCCTCCCAATCCCACCCTCCCACCCCCTTCTTCACGCATGCCCCTCCCCAAGTCCACTGATAGGGGAGGTCCTCTTCTCCTTCCTTCTGATCTTAGTCTATCAGATCACATCAGGAGGGGCGGCATTGTCATCTTCTGTGGCCTGGTAAGGTTGCTCCCCCCTCAGGGGGAGGTGATCAAAGAGCAGGCCAATCAGATTATGTCAGAGGCAGTCCCTCTTCCCATTACTATGTAACCCACATGGACACTAAACTGCCATGGGCTATATCTGTGCAGGTGTTCTAGGTTATCTCCATGCCTGGTACTTGGCTGGAGTATGAGTCTCTGGGAAGTTCCCTGTGTTCAAATTTTCTGGTTCTGTTGCTCTCCTTGTGGGTTTCCTGTCCTCTCCAGCTCTTACTATTTCCCACTTCTTACATAAGATTCCATGCACTCTGCCTAACAGTTGGCCATAAGTCTCAGTGTCTGCTTTGATAGTCTGCAGGGCGACTTATCTCTTAAGTGGAGTGAATTTTAGAATGGTCAGGTCATAGGTTGAACAAGTGTGCTAGTTCATAGATGAAAATTACTGGTTATCTGTTGACTTCACTCAGTCTTAGTAGCTGATTTACAGAGTTGGTGTTCTCTGTATAGATATATACATTATGAATTTTTTAAAAAATGATGTGGTCAGCAGGCATGGTGGCACAGGCCTATAATCTTAGCATTTGGGAGATACAGGCTTGAGGCTCAGAAGTTGAAGGTCAGTCTCTGATACATAGCAAATTGAAGACCAGCCTGGGTTATGAGGGCCTGTGTAAAAAATCATGCAAACAAACTGGAAGCAAACAACAAAAATTAGTGATAAGAAGTAAATTGTTGCAAAGCTTTAAGTAAATTAATGTAAAATTAGAGTTTTAACTTAGCCTAACAGTCCCCTACTAAATATAGGAATGAAAGAGGAATAACACTGATTTGTAGGGGAATTGCAGGAAATAAATCTAATCTAGACTTCAGGGGGAAAAAGTTTATTCCTTGGGCTAATCTATAAGACTTACCTGAGACAGTTTTTCTTCTGGGCTGAATATGGTCAGTATGTGCTGTGATCCTTTTTTTGTCAGGGAACCATGACCTTAAAATTTGAGAAATTTGAGGCTCTGTTCATTGTTTTGTCTTATGCTTTGTGGAGGGAGTCAACACTTATTCCTTGTAAACAACTGAACACTACAACTATCTTTGTCTCACATCTGCTTGGCTCAGCTAGAAAACCCAGTGCTGCCTGGTTGGTTTTTGTGGGTGTCTCTCTCAAACACCTCCTGTTTGAATGCAGTTAAGTTAGAATGCAGGGACCAGACTTGGAGGTGCCCCAGGCCATGCAGTGTAAAAGACATTCTTTGTTCTTTTTTTGGTTTTGGTTTCCAAGACACGGTTTTTCCGTGCAGCCTTGGCTATCCTGGAATTCTCTGAATTTGAGGCCAGTCTTGAACTCAGAGATCCACTTGCCCTTGCCTTCTACTGGGATTAAAGGTGTGTTCAAACCACACCCAGCTTTTCTTGTTTTTTAAACTGGCTGGGCCTGGTGGCTCATGCCTTAATTCCAGCCCTTGGGAGGCAGAGGCAGGTAGATCTTTAAGAGTCTACAAATCCAGTCCAGGATAGCCTGGGTTCTGTTACACAGAAATTCTGTTGAAATAAAACAAAACAAAAAAACCCCACAAGGTCTTGCTAAGTAGCCCAGGGTGAATTTTAGCTCCCTGTGATCCCGTGTGTGTGTGTGTGTGTGTGTGTGTGTGTGTGTATGAGTATGAGAGAGGTGCTTCAATTACTGATGTGTGCCATCATGCCCAGATGCAAATATAT